ACAACAATTTCATAACAACAGCATAATTAAATTTACAACAACAAAGGGAAAATAAATACATTAAATTAACTTGCAAATGTAAATTCAAATTCAAATAGACTATCAGTTCCCGTCCTATCAGTTAACCGACAAATTTGAATTTGAATTTGTTGTTGCCGGTCTCCTGCCGTTTCTGTTCGCCTGGTACTTGAAATCCAGAAATTGACGATTTTGTACTAAAAACGTCGATATTAAAGCCTAGTTTTTGCCTACAACAACAACAAACATAATTTGTACAACAACAACAATTTAAAATTACAACAACAAAATTCAAAAAAATATTAATTTAACTGCCAAATTTGAATTCAACAACAACAAACATAATTTGTACAACAACAACAACAATTTAAAATTACAACAACAAAATTCAAAAAAATATTAATTTAACTGGCAAATTTGAATTCAACAACAACAAACATAATTTGTACAACAACAACTCTTTAACAACAACAACAATTTAAAATTACAACAACAAAATTCAAAAAAATATTAATTTAACTGCCAAATTTGAATTCAAATTCAAATAGACTATCAGTACCCGCCATATCTGTTAACAGCCAAAATTGAATTCGAATTTAATTAGACTGTCAGTACCCGCCATGCAACATTTAAATCCTGTGTGGTTTTAGTCAGCTTTTTAATTTTTCGAAGATCGTGCAGCTTAGGTCTGCTGCCCGAAACAGTATGCTTACATTTAATACCAACACAACATTTTTTGCCCCTCTCATGTATGCAATTAAAAGCAATATGCTATGAATTCCAATAGTCTGGCCGTAAAACTTAGCATCTTTTGGGCTTAGTTAATAGCAGCTGGAACTGAAAATATGTGGCATGTTTTTATGGATAGTGTAGATCGGAGCACAGTTTGAAATGCTGCCCAAAACAGTATGCTAACATTTAATATCAACATCATTATATTTTTCGGCCATAAAACTGTGCATCTTTTGGGCTGAATTATTAGCAGCCGGAAGTAAAACTACGTAGCATGCTTTTATGGATAGTGTAGATCGGGGCACAGTTTGAAATGCTGCCCAAAATATTATGCTAACTTTTAATACCAACACAATATGTATTGGCTATAAAACTGCGCATCTTTTGGGCTGAACTAATATCAGCCGGAAGTAAAAAATCTTTGCATTATTTTATAGATAGTGTAGATCGTGGCCCTAAATCGATGCATCTTTTCGGCTGAATTAATATCAGCCGGAAGTGAAAACACGTAGCATACTTTTATGGATAGCGTAGATCGGGGAACAGTTTTAAATGCAGTGGTGGGAAATGATGATTTCATGGCTCTATAACCCAACAAATTATAACACCATCTTCTCAAAAATGCGAATATTTAAGGTTTAAAGCCCGGATTTAGTTTAAAAGCAACAATAACTTCAACTCCCTTATAACAACAACAATGTACAAATATAGAAGAAAAAACACTATATTGAATAATAAATAATCAGTTGCCATCATATAAGTAAACAGCCAAATTTAAATTTGAACCTAAATAGACGATCATTTTGCGCAATTCAAATTTTTAATACAGTTTGGTTCGAGTCTGCTTTTATAATTTTCCGAAGATCGTGTAACTTCGATCTGCAGCCCAAAACAGTATGCTAACATTTAATATCCAATAAAATCAATATGCAATATGGCCATAAATCGATGCATCTTTTGGGCTGAATTAATATCAGCCGGAAGTGAAAACACGTAGCATACTTTTATGGATAGCGTAGATCGGGGCACAGTTTTAAATGCAGTGGTGGGAAATGATGATTTCATGGCTCTATAACCCAACAAATTATAACACCATCTTCTCAAAAATGCGAATATTTTATTATATATTCGTTATGAAACATACGTTAACAGCTAAATTTAAATTGAAGATCATTTCGCAACGTACAAAATACGATTTCCAAAATTTGTATATAAGATGTAATATGCTATTTGTATTACTCACAATTAATTTAACTTGGGGTCTTTTGTGGCATCTCTGATTGAATCCCAAAGCTTTACAAAAAATCCTCTGAAAGTGCCACCAATTCTGTTAATGGCTTTGATTACACATATCCAAGGCTTAAATCTCTCAGATTCATCTAAAAGCTTATTCGTATTTAATATTTTGGCTGGCTTAGGCTCAATTTGATTTTAAATTACTTGTTTTTCCCTAAAGTCACTATTTATTTTTTAGCTTAAAGGTAATTTATCAATTGTTTTCCTGCTGGTTTCGTTTTAATTTCGGAGTTTGGGCGCATTTGTCGTGGCCATTAAATGCAGTTTATGAATATTTAAATCAAATTAACGCCACCGCTGTCCGTTTAACGCGGCTGGCAAACAATTCAAGTGGCCACCCCCTCTGTCCGGGGCTCTCAAGCCCCTGAGAAGGGGTGAGTTTTTTTCTGGGTATTTCTACGAGTTGATTTTCGGTTCATGGGATCGGCGACAAATTTCCATTTAATGGACTGCAAGGCGTTAAGTGTTTTCGTAACCAGCTGAATGAGAAAAAAATGAACCAAAGGACAGACACCTTCCCCAGGATTTTCCCTGCTGGTTTTCTTGCCTCGCCTCCCCCTCTGTCCCTGCGTTCTCCCTCTGCCCTGCCACTCCCGGGTCTAGTGCCCAGCCAAGGGTAGCATATAAATCCTATAAATCCGCCGCTTTGATCATTCGCCTCGGTCCAGCAAAAAGCCGAAAAGTGGCTAACTGGCAAGTGAGCAAGTGAACACTGATGGCTCAGGGATATATCAGCCATCGGCCGGGATATATAGCCAGGCAGCCAGGCAGCCAGGGAGCGAGCGAGCGAGGTCAGAAGCGAGGTCTAAATCCGATAAGCAAATGTAGTTGTTGCCTCTTGAAGTGATTTCCTCTCGTGTCTTTGAGTTCTTTTTTTTCCTTCATGTTTAAAGTGCTTTCCCTGTCGGATTAATTTAAGGCCTTGCAGGGGGGTGAAAATAATACAGAAAAAAAAGAAGGGAAAGAAAAGCAGAGGTTTTCCCCCACTGCCAATCACCTGTTCAGGCAATCAACTTTTCTTGCCATTTCCCCAGTCTGTTTTTTAGCCGCGCGTTCAACTCATTATTTTATGCACATTTATGTTATTTTTTTTTTAGACTGGAAAAGGGTGGCGTAAGCCAGGGATAAATCCTACTCCTTGCAGAATCCTGCGGGTTTCCAAGCAAATTGAAAACTGCAAGACATTTAAGTTGGGGTTTCTTAAAAAGAAGTAGTGGCGAGGTTTAATTTTTAGTTCAGATTTTGTCTTTCTTTTATGTTTTTAACTTATTTATTATCTACTTAAAACATATTTGTTATTGATTAATATCTTCTAAGTTATGATACATTACATATATGTATTTAATTCCTAAATAATAACAGGGAATACTCTTGTTCGTTCCTATGTACATCCCCTTTTTTATAGTATTTTTTCGGTTTTTATTCTGGGGGCAAGCTCTTAAATTTTTTATTTGTCTAGCTGGTCAGCAGCGCATACAAATAGTTGGTAAATAATTAATGCAAATGAATTGCAAAATACTTTTCAAGGTTACTGCACAGGCGGCCGCACGTTTCGCCAGATACGGATTTGTTCTCAGGAGTTTTGGGTGCGTTTTTTATTTTGTGGGAAACGTAAGACACCGAAAGTCCGGAAAACTCTTAGTCGACATTAAGGCCCCGTAATTAAGACGTATTATCGCGACCAGAAGGGAAAGTGGAAGCACCATTTCCCATTATTTGCTTTGTGCTTTTCCATTTCCATTTCTGCGACCGTTTCCGTTTCCTGAATGTATCTTTTTTCCTTTTTCCTTTTGTATTTTTTTGCTGCCAGACTGGCATCAATAAACCTGTCTGAGAACTGTCAGTAATAACCATTTAATGTTAACTCAAAGCTCATAAAAGATTCAGCAGGACGGGCAAACTCCGAGACGCCTGCCAAATACTCCGGAATTATTCGTTATTAATGCATTCGGGCAGGAAAAACACGGCATTGTCCGTCGCTCCCAAAGCCCACCTGTATCTGTATACATATATATATGTATATATATCCATGGATCTGGGTCCTCCACGGCGAGATCCTCCATTGAGTCGCGGAATTTGAATGGAACGAGCAATTGCGGGTCACAGGGACGCACTTCTGGCACTTTCTCCTATGACTCGGTTATCCTTACACAGTCAAAATCATTACAAAAATATGTAAGATAGGGGATTTATCTTTCTTCTGATTGCTTTTTGAAATATATCCGACTTTTGACAATCGCCTTAGCGCCTTGGACTTTCTATACAACCAAGAAAACCTTAAGTATATCAAAACGATATTTTCATATGCTAAATTTTTGAGTAAATCTAAGTTTTTCAAATAGCATAACTAAGCCAATAAGTCATTAAATTCAATTCAAACTCTTTCAATGATTTTCAATCTTCTGACTGAAATTATAGTACCCTGCAAGGCATATACATTTTATTAAACTAGTCAAAATCTATCTCTTTCTTCACCATCAAATGCTTTAGAAACTCATTTTAGTTTTACAGGGCTTACAAATGTTAAAAATGATTAAAGAATTGCCTTTACCTCGATAGAATCGCAAGATGATGACATGACAATCTGCAGAAGGAAGGTACATTATTATGATATGATTTTGCTTTGCGTTTTTTAATAAGGTCGAATCAAAACCCGAATTAATTTTTCACCTAACCCAGACTTTAACAAAAATGTAGGTTAAAAGGTAAACACATCTATTTGACAGTACAATGCGAAAGCAAAGGACTATTTGTTTGAAGTCTTATTCACAGAGTTTGATCATATTTCCAAACCCGTATATTTAAGGATAAGTAAAGAACAAGTACATAACATATGTAGGTACTTTCCAAGCCTTGCTCCCAAGAGAAACCCCTTCATATAATCCCTTTTAGAATTGTGCAGCTTTTCAGCTAACATTCAGCTATATAACTGGATCGGAGGAGAAGATACTTACAGATGGATTTGGCATGCAGCGCCGCATTTGCTCCGAACTTCGATAGGAGGGACTGTAGCGTCCTGGAAAACAACTGGGCGCTGACATTTTCATTTTATCCGTCGTCGAGTACATCGACATTGTCATGCAGCCGCCGACGAAATCCTCCTCCAGCTTGAACGCCCTGGAGGCGTCGAAAGTGGTTGGCGAGTAAATTTTGAAGCACTTACTGGGACAGGCTTAGCGCGTGTCCTGCATGCAGGACATACGAAATAGGTTCCGAAAAAAAATATATAAATACAAACGAAATAATGACAAACAGAGTCCTTATAAGACAGTCCTTTCTCTGACTTTGCCGCCGGACTGACTTTGATTCGTTTTGTTTTCTCTTAGCTTTCTTGCTTCGCTTTTCTTGTGTAGGCACTGCACTGGGTTTTCGCGGTTTTTCTTCGATTTTCTTGGGCTTTCTTTTCGACTTTCGGCGGTTAGTTTTACGCTTTAAACGCTCTTAAACATACATATCTCTTTGTCGTGACGCGTTTCGGGAAACTGAGAAAAAAAGCACAGGAAAAAAATGTTGCTGTCGGGACAGAGTGAGGGAGTGAGAAGAATTTCCGTTGCGGCTGGAGAATTGTAATTAAGACGCGTCTCTCTGTGTGATTTTTCCGGCGGTTTTTCCGCCCGCTACTTTTGCTCGTAGAGAAACGGTTATAAACGGTTGGGCCTCGGCGCTCGAACTGAGTCAAGCGGGGCTCTTCCGCTTTTCCGCTTTGCCGGCTTTTTCCTGTTTCCTGCTGTTTCCTTTTTCCGCTTTTCGCTTTTCGCTTTCCGTTTCCTGTTTTCCGCTCGGCAAACGCACTGGCACTTGGTTATGTATTTGTGGGTTTTAGTTCGGTGTTTTTGCTTTGTATTATTTTTAGGGGACTCCCGTCGGTACCGCCGCGTACCGTTGCCGCTCAATCGCTTTGTTATCGAAAACGTATCGAACCGAACTTGGGGAATATATCGAACCGCCTATTGTTTACTCCGTGTACCGCCCCGCCGCCAGCTGTGCGCTCAACTATTGTGGAAACTAAACGGAACACAGATTTCACAACTAGACAAGCGCGCGTGGTGTTGTGATAAAGAATTCTATGATGAGTTTCGCTAACTTCGGAGTTTATTTTCAATGGGGCATGGACGACATGTTTTCATTATTTATCAGCGTGGGCGTGGCCAGCCCCGCCTCTGCCCTCTGCCGCCCTCGGTCGTATCAAAAATGGCAGCCGCGCTTATATAATAAGCAAGGCACGGCCAGGTCCTGGCTCTCCCCAGCCTGGGCCGGGCCTCTGATTGGCCGCAGCCCGGACGTGGCAGCGCTGCCGGCGCCTTCGTTCAGCTGGAATTGGGCATCCGGCGGACGTGTCTCTACCTGGCGGACGCTTCCAAACTTGACGAAGCCAATGCCAAAGCCAAAGCCCAGCGGCTGCGCAGTGCCACCCGTCGTTGTTGAGGGTCGGGTAGCAACCCCCGGCTGCGAGTCCTTTGGCCGCTTTTGGAAGTCCTTACCGAACCGGACCGGACCGGAGCGAAGCGAAGCGGAGCGGAGCGGAGCGGAGCATCGCAATGCCCCCGTCGACGTCCGGCATATGGCACAATTTCTCCTGGCCTGGCTGCGTGTTTTTCTGTTTCCCTTTTTTTTCCGGAATTTTCTTCCTTTTTCGTTGCTGCAGCGGAGGGAGGGAATTTTCCACCGAGATAGAGGGAGAACGAGCCACAGCCAGGACGAGAGCCGCAGCCAGAGCGAGTGAGAGAAAGCCGCCTCAACAAAAGGCAGCACAAAACCAACGCCAACGCGGCCGAACAATGCCAAAACACAGGGAGATGGGCGTACTTTCCTAAGGGTGGTCCTCTGCCGGATCTTTCGCCTGCTCCTCCTCCGCCAGCTCCCCTGCGTGCCCCTCTCTTGTTTCTGGGAGGGAATGGGCCTGGGCAACCGGGTCCTGGCTGAGGCCTAGTTGTTGCAGTGCAACTGTTAAAAGCATGCAGCATGCCAAATCTCCTAGAGGGTGTCCCGCGCCGCAAGGATAACGGGTGCTCCGAACAGACTAGTTTTGCAAGAAAAAATAGAAAAATGATTGTAAAACTTATTTACAAAAATATTCTAAATATAAATATAAAAATACCAAAAATAAAATAGGCTTGTCTTTTAATTAGAAGCTTGCCACGGAGTGAAGCAGTCATTTCCGACCCCATAAATCATATATATTCTTGATCAGCATCAACAGGAGAATCTTTCTAGGCATGTCATTAAGAATTGTAAATTTTTGCCACCAAATTGAAATATTTGTAAATTGAAAATCGAGTATGCAAATTTGTTAAAGCATTTTAAGCTGAGCTATGATCAATTTTCTTTTACCTTAAAGCCCGATTTAATTCATTTGAATTATTCGATGGAATACCAAGGAAAATATTTAACTACAAGTAAAACCATTTAGCTTAAATATATTTTAATAAAATATGAAATAACAAATTGAAATGAAACGAATATTATATAAAATGAAATTATGTTTATTATGATTTTTATTTCTGTGGCATTGTTAATTTATACATTTTTTTTATATTTTTTTTAAAACCTACTTATCAATTTATAAATTATATATGCTTACTTAACAAAATCTAAAAAATAATTAATGTTTTAATTTCAATTGTGATTTACAGAGCCATCTGTATGTGAAATTTTTATGTTTTTATATTGGAAGCTTTCAAATTTCGTCCTTAAAGCTTTTCCCTGGGAAACTTTAGTCCTTAAAGTTCTATCAAAACTTTTGACTCAACTGAGCTTCCCAAAGCTTCTCTCAAAAAAGTTGCTCGTCCTTAAAGCTCCTCCTTAAGTAAGTAAATAAAAATGCAGTTACTTTCAGTTTTTAAATCCACTTCATTGTTTCACATTCGATTTGTTGTTTTCGTTTTTCATTGTTTCTTTTTTGTGTTTTACTTGTGTGTTTCTCGTTTTTGTACAATTATCTAATACGTTTTGCGCATCGTTAATATTTCACAAGTTATTGTAGAGTTCGTGTATAAAACTTTTTACAAGGATAGTCTAAATATGGGAACTCAACGTGACCAGAGGAGAGTGATGGATGCGCGGATGGGTTGAGTGGACATTTTAATTTCCTTTTGTTCTCGGGTTGATGAGCGATGAAGCACAACATGGCCTATAATGAATTTCATAAATTCGTTCAGGAATCATAATACCTTGTTGCAAAACGCAAGCGATCGTTACCTACATGTACTTCTATATATAAATCTATGAAGAGCCTATCAATATCCATGTATTATGCCTCTAAATACCATACCTAAGGAGTGAACAAAATTTGAACTAATGCGCCAAGCGAGCCAAGCGAAAGGATAACGATCGGGATTCGGCCTTCCCTAATACGTATTGGGTCTATCTATGGTCATGGGGATTTCTGGATGAGATCTATGCCAAAGATCCAGCAATAATCTGTTAAGATGCGTAACGGCCATGCATTTAAATTCGTGCTTCTTGCTTGTGTTGAGAGAGAGAGCGTCTACAATATCTACAGGATTTCAAAAGGACTTTCTTATGTCCTAAGCCAAAGACTCTGTAGTAATTAGACAGCTGATTCTCCCTTCCTCTGGTTTTTAGCAAAACTTCAAGATCGCTCGAGCGGCGTTACGGAACTTTTCTTTGGTCCTACTTTAAGCCATGATGATGAGCAGGGAATTTTCGATTAATGTTCGATTCCGGTGCTTTGCAATTCCGGGTTATCCATTGTGCATCGTTGCATGTATTCGTTTAAGGATTTCTAAGGATTCTAAGGCTCCTGCCGACCCAGCAAGCCGTAGACAATGCGCCGACGGGCCTGTACCTCTGCCCGCATCGCCTCCGTGTACGGATCAAAGGAGAGCAGCCGCTTCTTCCGCCGGAAGATGCCCTCCTTGCGCATGATGGCGCAGCGCATCAGCGGCTCGTTGACCGGAAATTGCAGGAAGTCCAAAATGGAGCGCAGCTCCCTCTCCGTATGGTGGACCAGATCGTCGTAGAACACAACCTTGAGGCTGCCAGTGAAATTGCGCGCCCAACTGAGGTTCATTAGCTCCCAGCCCTTGAGCTTATTGCTCACGAATTGCTGCCAATCTGCAAGAAATAACAATTAAGATTAGTACTATAAATACTAATGTAAATATTAATAATGAGATTTCAGGCAGTTTTGCTTTGACTGCATTAACCCCAACCTAATTGCTCGGAAAACCCCTCATAATTGAACTGAATTGCCATGGGAATTGTGGCTGTTTGCCGCTCGCAAAAAATATATACTGTACGTACATTTGCCCTTGGTCCGCTTGTACCGATCCGGCGATGCGAAGCCAATGTGACCGCCGCTCTGGCGATTGAACTCGGCTATGATCGCCTTCTCCGGATCACGGACCAGGAGTATTGCTTTCGAGAACGGGGCCCACGCCTTGCCGCCCCATTCGTGCGTCTTCACCAATAATACTGAGCTGTTGCACACGTTCTCCGCCGGAAAGCCGGTCTTCAGCAGGCCGTAGTCCTTGTAGATGCTGCCGGTTAATATGCCCGTCGCCTGCTGGAGCAAATACCTGAGCCAGGTGTTGCCGCTGCCCGGAAAGCTGGCCAGAGCGGTAAGGGCGGGCAAGGACTGCAAGGCGGCGCTCATGTCACTGGGCAGGGCAGCTATGGCAAAGGGATGAATGTTAGAGCGAAAGTGTAAGACACCATATAGAGTCCTTACTGTAAAAGTCGGCCTTGTAGTCCGTGTAGTTTGGAAGATCTCGATTTATGTACTTGAGGTCGCGACACCAGCGGATGGCCATTTTGCGGCTGGGCATCGGGAACCGAGGACTATGAAAGCTGGGAAACTGTGACGGAAAAGCAAGTGGGAAAATATTATCGTTAATATTAATAAATACATGGAAAAGGGTAAAGTATTCTTAGGTTTAGGCCTTTCTATTCAACAAAAAAAACCCAAAATAAGTGTATTCCAAGTACACTCCTTCAATGTTTTTCAAACTTCTGACTATAATTGCAAGACTGTGCAAGGGTATAAAAAGAATTCTTGGACAATTTTTAACTGCAACATTATTTTAACACACATTAAACTGGTTTCTTTAGCCACGAACCTTCCCTAAAACAATATATCCTTCACTCTGCGTCCTAGGAAATATTTTTAAGCTTCTTTCTTTCTGTGCAACAAATGCGGAAATTCATGCTGCAGTGCCATTTCCGTTGAAAGAAAATTCTAAAATATATATTGTATTTTATATACAAGTGCGTGCTGCTGGGTGACTCACCTCGGCAAAGCGTTCGATGCGCGGCCTCTTGGGATGCGAGCCGGGTATGTTGTTCATGGACAGGAAGAGGACGCCGCCAATGTAGATGATGATGGTCGCCGAGACACCGAAAAAGCGCCAGCCTTGTAGTGCCATAACGCCGTCTTTGCATTACTGAAACCAAAGATTAGCGGCATTAGTCGGTTTATTCGGTTTATTCGGTTTATTCGGTTTATTCGGTCTGCTGGCTGCAGAGACCCCCGTCTCCTGCTCATTTATGCAAAAATAATTCAAAGGACACGGTCGCATTAATGAAGCCAATTATCTGCCGGCCTGTGTGCCGCCAAAGACAAGAAAGGAACAAATAAATGGAGACAGAATCAATTTCAGTTTTTGTTGATTTTGTTATGACAACGAAACAAATGAGCTGAGCTGCCATCGGAAGCTATTTCCCTGTCCCTATCCACTAGATGCCGCTGCCACATCCACGAGCACCCTCTCTCTTACTTGGCCAACTTGGCGAACTTGGCTAAGTTGGCTAACTGGTCTCTTCGTCGTCGTTCACGGTCCGTCCGTCTCGATATGGCCTGTAACCCGGGACGGAAACAGGGCCGCACTTGAGTCGCAAATGAAAATTCAGGAAAATTGAGGAAACCGATGGGGTGCGTTTTTCAGGCAAGCCAAGTCGAAAGGTGGATGCTCTCTCATTATAATATAGTATGATATATTGAACATATGTATACCTTAATTTATAGATAATATCTCTGTTTGTTAAGTTTAGTTTAGTTTACTTAACCGAATCAAGGTCTCGATACTAAGCACAGAATACTAATCAGAATTCATATTCATATATCAAATAATAGATATCGAATGCTTCAGATATCAATCATATGTTGATAAGATAAAATTGTTATTTGAAGCGTCAACATATTGATATTATCTTTAGGCTTAAATCAAGATACAAATTTTGTAAGCAAATTAGAAATAGTTGTCAGTTTGAAAACATAAAGCAGCCACGAAAAAGAACAGTCTAAGCCGCACCGCTTAGCCTTGTTAGATTCCGATTAAAAACTTATCCTCGCTAACAAACATTCTCTTTCTGGTCTGTCCTGAGCCTTAAGTACCCCCAAGAAAGGGCAAAAAGCGCAGGCTAAAAAGGAAAGAGAGTAGAAATGCCTTGTCATGCCTTCAACGGAATTTCTTGAGCTGCATAAAACGCTCACGAAATCCGCAAAAGGACACCCCATCGTACACACACACACACACGGACACACCAGTATTGCACACATACGCCGTAGACAGGCGGCTAAATGCGAAAATTTATGCAACAGCTGGGCAGAGGGCTGCTCCAAGGGTCCTCGTCCTTGGCCCGCCATATATCCTTGAGGCGCCGATAAACATTCGGCTCAGGCTGAAGGAGACGAGACGAAAACCTCAGCGGAAAGCCGCTAGATGATGGTACAAGGATACCGCCCGGCAAAAAGCCAGAGAATAGGCAAAGGAACACCCCGGAACTCCTCGAACTACCCGCCAAGCCAAGCCACGCCGATGCGACTGATGATGGGGGATGGCCCTGCTGCTGAATGGTGCTTATGGTGCTGCTCCTGCTCCTGCTCCTGCTGGTTCTGCTTCTGGTTCTGGTTCTGGTGGTGGTGGTGGTGGTGGTGGCCCAAAAACTAGTCCAACGCTGAAACAAGAAGCAAACAAAAACACACAACCGAGGGCAGGAAAAAATGAGAAAAAAAACGAGAGCGTAATAAAAAATGGGAAAGCGGAACAAACACTGGCAGAAAAGGGGTACTCAAAAGAGAGCTGTGTGAAAATTAGTTTTATTTATTTGTATTTATCAATAAATTTAGATACCAATTAGCAAGAATTTAAGTTATTATATATATCAATTTATATTTAAATAAATAAAAATCAGTCCGAGAATAAAATAATATTCGTCTTTTTAATTATTTTCTATGCTATTTTTATTCTTTTGCAGGGTCTTTTAATTTTAGTCAGAAGCTTAAAAAACATTGACGGAGTCGTTTCCGACCATATAAATCATATATATTCTTGATCAGCATCAACAGGAGAATCTTTCTAGGCATATCCGGTGGAAAATAAAATTTTTCAAAATTTTTCAAATTTTTATAAGGGGTTACATCATTAAAATTGTCTATTTTGTAGCAAAAAATTCAATTTTTTAGAATTTTAAATTGAATAAGCAGATTTGTTAAGCTATAAAAAACTAACATAGAAACGCTTTTCGAATTGAATTTAAAGCATTTTTGGCTGATTTGTGACATATAAAAATATTGATAAATATTGATTCAAAATATGCGAAAATTAGCTATGATTCGATTTATTTCGGTTTCTCGAAGTTAATATCCTTTATTTTTATCTACATTTCTGCCTCAGAAATATATTATTGAATAGTTGTTAATACCTCAATGTTTTATAAATGATGGAAAAACCTGATCCATTTCTCTCATATTATATATATTAGTTATCTGTACAAGTTTGTTGGGAAATTTCAAGGATATATATTTTTTAAAGTCTTCACAACACTAGCAACATTTTTTCTCAGTGTTAGTTAGCGACTATATAATGAAATTGCGAGGCAGCCGCCAAAGCGAAATAGAGAAATATAAAAAAACAAGAAAGGAAGCTAACTTCGGCACGCCGAAGTTTATATACCCTTGCAGATAGAACTTCTATGAATAAAAAACCATACAATACAAATTATATCTTTGTGTTAAAAAACAATGAAGTAAGTAATACCTGCTTTCATTTCATTCACCTATACATATTATATTTGCAGTTTTACATTCACTGATTTGCATTTTTCCTCCACATCAAACGATCGTTTGTATGGCACCTATATGATATAGTCGTCCGATTTTCATGAAATTTACCACAAAATTGAAGACTTAAATTAAATGCCTATACCTAAAATTTGATGAAAATCAGTTGAAAACTGAAAAGGTTATTAATTTAATTGTATTAATTTCTCGATCGTTCCTATGGGAGCTATATGATATAGTAGTCCGATTTTCATAAAATTTTATGCAAAATTGTAGAGTATAGTAAAATGGCTATATCTCAAATTTGATCCAATTCTATTGAAAACTGAAAAAGTTAAAAATTTTTTTGTAAAAATTTTCCGATCATTCCTATGGCAGCTATATGATATAGTCGTCCGATCCGGCCCGTTCCGACATATATACGAGTGAGAGTATATAGAAGGCTAACTACAAAGTTTCATTCAGATAACTTCAAAACTGAGAGACTAGTTTGCGTAGAAACGGACAGACGGACAGACGGACAGACGGACAGACGGACAGAAGGACAGACGGACAGACGGACAGACGGACAGACGGACAGACGGACATGGCTAGATCGACTCGGCTGTTGATCCTGATCAAGAATATATATACTTTATATAGTCGGAGGTGCCTCCTTCACTGCGTTGCAAACTTCTGACTGAAATTATAATACCCTGCAAGGGTATAAAAAACAGAACAAAAAATTGGGCACCAAAAGCCGAATGGGTTAAGGGTTGGGGGTTTTTTTTATCAAGGGGAAAAGGCCTGGGAGGGCTAAGGCCTGGCTATGATGGAGAGCAGCAATAATTTGATTGTTTTGCGGCATAAATCAGACAAAAGCCACGCACACTGGCACAGCCAGGTGGAGAGACAACGACCCAGTCCCAGTCACAGTCACGGGTTTACATAATGATGGGGTTCCCCTCGCCCCAAAACCCCACCAGAGGAGGAACTACTCACCCCACCCCAACCCTCCCCATGAATATGCATTTCCAAAACCGAAATAATCAAAAAGATTGAAAGAAAACTATGCCCTCGCAGATCACATAAACAATGGGCATCTCTCGGATTCAGATGGTGCTTTGTACAAACACTTTCCACACGCACACACACGTGCGTAACAGTGGGAAATGGGAAATGGGTGTGTGAAAACTGCGAGGGGCCTTGTCGGTGAAATGTAAACAAATAATTTTAGGGGGCCATCATCAGCTTCTGGTGTTCTGGTGTTTTCAAATGATTGTTTCTGACTTACCGATACCGATTCCGGATCCACTCCTGCGACGCGCACACACCCTCTCCAAGGCTCGCACACACACCCTCCTCTCGCCTCTCTCCTCTCTCCTCTCTCCTCTCTCTGCTCTCTCTCGGGCTACATGTCACACACAGCCGTTGGCAATCAGGGGCGAACTACAACTGCGATTTGCTGATAAACGGGCAATCACAGGGCCCATTCGCAGCGATTATTTGCTTGAAAATCGGTTCAACAAATTTGCACATCAAACAAAAAAGAAAAAACACGGCAAAAAAAACACGCACACACACAATACAAATTGTTGCTAAAATAAATACGAAAATACGTGAATACAACACAAAGTTGATATTCGCGAATGGCAACAACAAACGGCAGCGGCAGCAAAACAAATGTGAACTATTTATTCCGTGCCACACGGCGCGCTCGCTCCCCTCCCGTCCCACACGTCGTATGCGCAATATTGGGGCGCAGCCGTTGCCGCTCAAAAACGTCCGGCGTGTCGCGAGTGCTCCGTGCGTGCGTTGTTTCTGCTCACTGGCCGGATTCGGACTCGGACTCGGACTCGGAATCAGTATCAGAATCGGTGGCAGTATCAGAGAATCAGTGGCAGATTCACCAGCACAACCAGCAGCAGCAGCAGCAGCAGCATCGCACGGGGGATGATGATGGGCAAAAAAAAGCTCTTGCGGTGGTGTTCCCTGGCGAACTTGCAACACGTTCCGCATCAGCTGCGAATATAATCGAACTCTTATGCGCAGGTCACCTGAATTTTTCGCTCTGCCAAAGTAGTCAATAGATGGCGACCGTGACTGTGTGCCATCCTTAAGGTCAGGTCAAAGTTTAGCCGTGCTCAAAACCCAACTGAAATCAAATAATATGGTTTATAAATAAGTAAATATGAAAATATTGTATAATAAATAAATTAAGAAATAAATACATCTGCTAAATAAGTATATATAATTAGTAAGAAGGATGGGAAAGCCATGTTTTAAGAACCCTGCAGTTCATGAAAAGCATTAAGCATTGAGCTAATCGGCTTCTGATACTCTCTGCCAAGTGTTCTTTTACAAAGAAAATATACCCATCTATCTACCTATCAATATCTTTTAACTTATCAATCTATCTAACTATCTAACTATCTAACTATCTAACTATCTAACTATCTAACTATCTAACTATCTAACTATCTAACTATCTAACTATCTAACTATCTAACTATCTAACTATCTAACTATCTAACTATCTAACTATCTAACTATCTAACTATCTGACTATCTAACTATCTAACTATCTAACTATCTAACTATCTAACTATCTAACTATCTAACTATCTAACTATCTAACTATCTAACTATCTAACTATCTAACTATCTAACTATCTAACTATCTAACTATCTAACTATCTAACTATCTAACTATCTAACTATCTAACTATCTAACTATCTAACTATCTAACTGTCTAACTATCTAACTATCTAACTATCTAACTATCTAACTATCTAACTATCTAACTATCTAACTATCTAACTATCTATCTATCTATCTAACTATCTATCTATCCATATATCCATTTATCTATCTATCTAAGGATACATAGCCCCTTATCTGAGTCTCTAATTTGATGACATGATTTGAAAACACTGAAATCCCCATTCCCTTGTTAAATAATAGAAACATTTGATTATTTTTTTGTCATATTTCGCTTTCGTGTTTTGTCTCTTTTATTCAAAGTTAAGTTCTGTTCGCTTCGTTTATTTTCGTTCATATTTCACCTTGGTTGCATTGGGGATTTTGCCTCGGCTTGTCGCGGGTTTTTCATTTAGTGTTCGTTCGCAACTAATTCGATCGCATTCGTATCGTATTATCGCACTTTCGTATTATTTGCAGCAACACATCATACCTTGTGGTGAGTAAAAGTTGATATGATGCACGTTTGGCACACACACTACACACAAAGAGTGACAAGGACTCGCAACCGAAGGCAAGTGCGCAAGTTGATCTCTGCATTAGTTTGGTTTTTTTATAGTTTTCATTTATTTTGTTTTTTGCGGATCTTTAACATGTGCTAATTTCTTTGTTTCGCTTTGCTTTTTAGTTTTTTTTGTTTGTTTTCATTTGTTATTTTAAATTATGTTTTGCATATAATTTTTACTATAAGTACATTCTGTTTTTTGTTTCTTTTGCCTTTTTGTTTTTAGTATCTGTCAACATTGCGAAATTAGCAATTAGGAGAAAAAAATATTTGTATGTATGTTTATGCATTTGTATTTTTATACATTTATATAGGAATTTTATCTCTAGACTCGTGGGGGGGGGGCCTACCTTAAGCTAATGTACAAAAATATCGATAACTTAAGGACGAGCAATTTAAAATGTAAAAACGTTTAAAATCAACAACGACAACAACAATTCGCGCGGTAATATAGTACAAATACAGTACAGAGAGTAGCTCATTATCGGGGCTCAGGGGTCAGGGGTCAGGGGTCAGGGGCTGCATCTTTTTAAAAACAATGTAATCCCTTTGTTAATTTATTTAAACTTTAAAATGATCCATTTACACATAATTGACTCACAGAGTGTGTTTCGTTGGCTGACAACAATTGAACTGAGAGCGAGTGGTGCGAAATCAATATATATCGATCGATATTGATCGATCAAAGAGTTGCGGGGACTTCTTCTTCTTCTTCTAGTGAGTGTTAAACGGTGGCTAACGGTACATCGATGATTAAGTGACGGTTACTGTTAGGGTTACGGTTACTGCTCCTCCGGTTGGTTACCGCCTGGCATCTCTCTCGTTATTATCATTAGGTTTACTTTTTGCTAGGTTAGATCTCCTCCATTTGTGACTATACTTTGGTTTTTGTCTTTCGTTTTCTTTGTTTATATATATAAAAAAAGAGACAAAAACATTTTTGTGGTCCCTGGCGTATGTAATTCAATTGAAAAGGGGTTTTCCGCGAAACGAAGCACCCGGTAAATGAACAATAATAAAGAAAGATCCTATAAAGTTACATCTTCTTCCGGCTCCGAACTACTTTGAATTACATAAGTTGTGTTGTGCTTGTTGTTTTTGTCTTCTTATTACATTTAGTTGGACTGCTTAGCTGGCTGTGACCCATTTTGGTGTTTCTTGTAGTGTAGTTTATTTTCTTCCATTTGTTTTTTAGCATTGAACCCATTTGAGAATTTCATTTCCTTGTTCCTTGAATTTCGTTTGCTTTCTGCTTAATTAAATTGGAGGTGGAAAAGCATCGATGAACTTATCGATTATACAGCACACCCCTAGAAATTAATCGTAGGCTTGTTTCTTGAGGTGGTGCCACATTGATAGGGACTTCGATTTGCGAAATTCCAGCTCCAATCTAACATATTTACTGGAATAGACTAGATATTTGTGTCTTTTACGCTTGTTGGTGTGTGTGTATGTCTGTGGGTTTGTGTGCATGGTTGTGTCTCTTAGTGCGCTTAGTACAGTACGATAGTTATCGATAGTTTGCGGCATTTGTTGAAACTAGAAACTACGAAACTCTAGGGGGCGTGCCTGCTCTGTAGATGGGTTCTAAACTTCTTCCTACGAACTCTACAACTCTAGGGTCTGGCTTAGCATTTAGTTAGAGAGAGACAGAGAAAGAGAGACAGAGAGAGAGAGCAACCTGAAATCAAACCCAAAGAATCGTTATCCTTATCGTTACTGTTTCTCTTGCCTAGTTTTCAGTGGCATTTTTTGGGGGAAGGGAAGCTTCAAGCTTACACAGTGCGACAGACTCGAGTCTTGAACGGCACTAAACTACTTAAGTGCTAGAGAGTTGCCTTTCTTATAACGCGATAGTGTCTCTAGTTCGGGAATCGGATGAACAAAAGGATTGAGGGGCTATTAAGGGTTCAGGGGTTAATGGAGGAGGGCTAGTCTAAGTTTTCGATAGGTTCGACTAACGCTTCGATAGTCCTAACAGCTCGAACTGAGGTTCTTCAACAAGTAAATCGCTAATCTATGCATATTATAGGCTCTATATTTAGATATTTGTATGCGTGCGTGTGTGTTGTTGTGTGTGTGTGTGTGTGGTGTGTGTGTGTGTGTGTGTGTGTGTGTTTGTGTATGAGGTGGTGGCTTGTTCTATTTCAAAAACATTTGTCCGAATCGATTAATATTTAAAACGTTTTCTTAAATAGTTCACTATATAAGTTATTAAAGCTTTCGGTTTTCATTACACTAGTTCATATATAGATATATTACTATGTATATTTCTTTGTGTATATATATATAAGTACTTAAAATATATATGTATATATATGTGTTCCATAGTCTCTAACAGTAAGAGGTATATACATCTGTAGGGAGAGCCACGCCCCGCCGGCTTCAAAGACAAATAAATGAAATAAAAAGTACATATACAGTGGCGGAAATTAGAAAACGCTTTCGATTACGATTCAGATTCAGATTCAGAATAATGGCTGACGATTGGACACGTCGGGTTAATGAACAAACATGGACGTTTCTCAGGACGGTTTAATGTGGGAATTATCGTCATTCTTTCACGCTCACACGCAGACGCACTCACACAGCTATACAAAACTTTGCAAAAAAGCTAACGAAAACTATTAAGATTAAAATTAAAAAATCAATTCAAACATGAGTTTCCCAATCCACCTTTGCATACTAGACACTTTTGGTTAAAATAGTTTTTTAAGTAAAAACAGTATTTAAACAAATCCATCCTGCCATTATAACTGGTTTCTCAAATTATATCTAAATTTGTTTATAACTAGATAAAAAATAAAGGAACTTTTGAGAGCAGTAGATTTTATACCCTTGCAGTTTGTAATTGAATAATCAATCATAACTTAGTCTAAAATATTTGCATATTTTGAGTCGATATTTCAATATCAAATTAAAGTTTAAAAATCTCATAGCTAAGTCAAAAAAGCATTATTTTCAATTCGGGAAGCTGTTCTGTGCTAGTTTTTATTGGATTAATAAATCTGCATACTCAATATAGAAACTTAAAATTTTTCCAATTTTTGAAAATTTTGATGATTTGTAAAAATTTGAAAAAAATGGCCAACAAATTTGTTTCTCTATTTTATACCCAGAAAGATTCTCCTGTTGATGCTGATCAAGAATATATATGCTTTATAGGGTCGGAAATGATTTCTTCCCTGTTTTGTAAGCCTCTGTCTGAAATAAGAATACCTTGCAAGGGTATAAAATTCAGTTGAAAAACTAAAAGAAAATAATTTTAAATTAGGCCAAACCTAAACTAAACTGAAGCACTGAGGAAAATAATGCTAAAATGCAGTTATCCTTCTATTAGACATAGTCAACTTTCGGTTAATCAAACTATTTACATTTTCAAGAAAACTATTGAAATGAGAATGAAAATGAAAAATTTAAGCCGGAATAGGGGTCGAGGCACTCCCTCTGGCTATCTGTGTGTTGTTTCTCGGTTTTTTAGTAGTAGTTGTTTCGTTAATTCTACAGTTTTTGTGTCTCATTCGGGCTTTCCTTTGGGTTTATATATGTATATCTGTATATGGGGGATCGTTTGGGCTAAACATACATGTATAGAATATAGCTCTCTATATGTCCTCACATCTCTTTTTAGGTTCTGTATATCAAATACATATAGTTGTTGTACCATTGTAATACTGTCCGAATTGCTTATTGGTTGTCCGCTCCTGCTGGAGATGGGAATGGGGTTGGAGTTGGAGTTGGGAACTGGGTGATGGTTTGGATTTGGATTTGGTCACTTCGTCGATTACAGTTCTCAAAGCTTGTCTTTATCACGATCGATGCTCATTGCTTTAAAGATCCCGCGTCCGATGCCATAGCGCAGGTTAAACTGATCCAAGCTGGAGGCCCTCGGCCGCTGGCTGCCACTCTGATGGCCCGCCGAGGTGCCTGCTCCGGATGCGGATGCTGATGCTCCTGCCGATGCGGCTGCTGCCCGGGCCATTAGCTGATCGTCCATATCCGTCTCACTGAACTCCGTCTCCGTGTCGCTGAACTTGCGGCGACGCCGCAGCAGCGTGCTGCAGTGCCTCAGCTCGCCGAGATTGTCGGGATTAAGCGAGTGACCGCGCTTCCGCTCCTGGCGCTCCATCTCGGCGGCCAGCATCTGGACCTCCCAGTCGTTGTGGCCCGCTCGATTCGTTCCCGCCACCTCCTCCTCCTCGTCGTCGTCCTCCTCGACCACAACTCTGCTGCGTCGATCGGCGGCATTATTCTCCTCCTCCTCCTCATCGTCGTCCTCCTCCTCGGCAATGTTGATCTTGCTGGACGAGGAACTGGAGCTGGAGCTCTCGCCAATGTCCAGAATGACGCTGTCCGCCAGCCGCGTGAGATTGCCAGTCACATCCGATACCATAACGCCGCTAGTAGAACCGCTGCCACCGCTGCCACCGCTGACCAGACTTCCTCCTGGTCCGCCTCCGCTCCATTCGCGGTAGCCGCCACCACGACTGCTGCTCCGCCCGTTGCCCTGCCCGGAATAGAAACTGGGGTGGCTCTGGGCATGCCGGGAGCTAAGCGATCCTGGTCCGCCGTAGTAGCTGCTGGGACAATTCAAGGCATTCGCCGAGGCGGCATGATGACGGCTTGGTCCACGACCCGGACCCGGAGATATGCTCCGCCTGCCGCCCTGGATGGGTGGCGAGGATGTGAACACCGTGTCCAGGGAGTCGCCGCGCTGCAAGAGTGCAAGAGAGTGGGGAAAGGTAAGACAATTTCGTGGAGTGGATATATCTGAAGTCTTTTTGTATCGGAAAACCACTTACCATAAACAGAAGCTCCGCCGAGGAGCCGGAACTGCTGTTATCCTCATCCTCGGCCGGCTCATCGTCGTCCACCGACAGCTGGGACATCTTCTTCTGTCGCCGGCTGAGTGGCAGGACCAAGGCGGAGGACGAGCACGTGGCCACGGGTAGCGTCGAAGACGAGGATTTCTGCTCGATGGATCGCAACTTGAACTGCAGCTGGGCAATGATGGCATCGCGTCGCCGCACCTCGCCGGCCATGCTGGAGAACTGCGTCTCGAACTTGGAGTGCATCTCGTTCATGTGCGTCTTGATCACGTGATTGATGCCGCTGAGGATCTGATTGAAGTAGTCCTGCGCCTCCGGGAATCCTTTAAGATTAAGACGAGACACGATTAGTTGGCAATCAAAGGATAGCCTAAGCACTGGTATACAGAGGAGCGAGGATCAGGGGGCACAGGACATACAGGTTACAATTGTGTTGACGTGAGTTTTGCATTTACGGTGAGAAAGACATTCAATAGTATTTTCCAGAGCTTAACTACATCAAATATTTAAGTTTATAGGCTGTGGGTGTAAAAGCGTTTTATTTTTTAGCACTACATGCTATATATTTTTGTATATAGCTCCACCGAAGACCGATATTAGTACTTTATGGCTTCGACGCACAACGTAGACGAAGACTGTAAGTAATACCACAGCAAATGATGGAAAATATCTTTACAAGTTAAAGGTCTGGCAAATAATTAACATTTGTATAACATTTCATTTGCAGTGACATTACTCATTATCAGTTATTGTTATTATTTTGTATTATTTACACATTCTCATTCCAATTGACATTAGTATTACCATTACCATTACCAATAAGCATTACCAATACCATTATCATTACCATTATCATACAAGTGTGCTCCATCAAGGACTCAGCTCGGATATCTATATATAACACTTATATTAAGGGTTCTTATTTACAAAAGCTTGTGTTTCATGCTCGGGGAATACTTTCAGGATCTGTCCATTCCATTGCTGATCCTGGCACAGTTTCTAAATAATTAAACTCGGGCTTTATTGCCTTCAAACCTTGAAAAGTTACAAATTAACACACAGCAAAAGAGCTTTGCTTTGGGCGGGGTTTATATATACATTGTTAAAGTATTTATAAATTATAAATTAAACTCTGCTTAAAAAATGATTAATGATTAAAGGTTATCAAACATAAAGGCTGATCTGGAATATTCCCAACTTAAGTCTTAGAGTCATGATGCTTTATATTCCGTAATAATTTAATACTTATTTAATTTTTGTAAGCATTTTTAAACCGAACTGAAAAGATTGCAAATTTTAAACATGATTTCAAGACATTTGTACAGATTTTAAGCGTGTCCTTCATGCGAAGAAGAGTTTAAGTAATGCAATTTAGATTTTAATTAGGATTTAGTTAGTTAAGTTTCAAGATCGAATAGTTTGAAATAGAAATGTAGAGTTTAACAGAGTTTCCAAAAAAAGCAGGGCAAAGCGAAGAAATAGAGTGTGTGTTTAGTAAAAACCATATATAGAATAAGATGCGTAACGAGAACATGTATCTATTGTTTAATTATATTTATATTTTATACAATTATTTCTGGTATAAAATAATATATTTAGCATCTTATTCTGTATATACCTCATAGCTTTAGTGTTTTAGTTTTTGCGTGTTTGTGACTCCCAGACATGCACAAGTGTTGAATGTTAGAGTGTGTTTAGTTATGTATAAAGAGAAATGTAGTATTAGGATTTATACAGCTCAAATAGATAAAGCGTGTTTTTTATACATTTCTTTTTGTTTTTTTTTTTTGGGAGTGACAAGCGATGCTTTGCTTTGCGTTGCGTTGCTCTTGTTCTGGCTAGCGTTTTGGTTTCTGGTTTTTCTGATGGTGGGGTTCTTTTTTTCTTGCTTTTTGTTAGTAACGATCTGAAGCGGATATATTTACCTTCGTGATGCGGCCCTGGACCCTGTCCCAGTCCCAGTCCCTGTCCCTGTCCCAAGCCCAGTCCCATCGCACTGGTCGTGTTCTGCCTGAGCTGCAAATTCAAATTCAAATCGGTTGTGGTGGTGGACTGAGCATGGAACTCGCTCTGCGATTTCGACTCTACGATGTATGAAGCGGACGCGGATGTGGATGCCGTTGCGGAAGCGGATGCAGATGCGGATGCGGATGCGGATGTGGAGGAACCGGAAACGCCGGACGCTGAGGCGCTGCCAACGCCAGCAACGAGTCCGCCATCGCGCTCGCGAAACTGCTGCAGCTGGCCGGGATTGGGGTGCAGCAGCTCGAACGCGAAGCTCTCCTGCGGCGAATTCGTGGGCGTTACCAACGTCAACGTCGGCGACCAGACACTCGTCTCGACGCCGCCGCCGCCGCCGCCCGGAACCGTGGCCGGTGGCGGTATGGGTGCCGTTATCGGAGCCGGAAACGTTGCTGAAATCGGAGACGGAAGACCGCTGACCGGAAGCGGAAGTGGAAGTGGATACGCATACGCACTGTTGGCCGCGCGCGAATTCGGATTAGGAGTAGGTGTGGGAGCAGTTGCAGTGGCACTCGATACATCGGTACCAACAAGGCTAACAACGCTATTATTAGTCCCACCGCCGCCGAAGGGATACTCCTCCTTGGCACTGGCGGGCGGGCTGGAAAGAGTGGAATGGAAGGTTACACTCTTCAAGAGCTTACTGTGCCTAGCCACGTACCCTTCCACGGTGGGCTCCGCGGGCAGCCCCTGACCCTGTCCCAGTCCCAGTCCCAGTCCCAAGCCCTGTCCCTGTGCCAGCCCCCTTGAGCTGCTGCCGTTGTTGTTCGCTCCTGATCCCGATCCTGATCCTGATCCTGATGCTCCTGGCTGAATCTCCTCCTCCTGTCCGCCGTTGCCTGTGCCCTTCTGCAGCTTCTTGAGTATGCTCTTCAGCTTCCGTCGCTCCAGTGTCTCATTAGACTCCGGACTGAGTGGCAGTGGGACATACTGCAACAGCTGCCTGGAGTTGCTGTCCGAGGCAGAGGCGGAAGCGGATGCGGAAGCCGACGCCGAGGCGGATGCGGATGTATTCGTGGATATCGAGGTGGAGGTGGAACTGGTGGTGGACTCATAGGTGCTGAGGAACTGTGAGTAGATGCCGGAGGTGTCGCTATAACAGCGATACAGCGACTCCGTGATGGGCACCCGGCTATCGGGGCCGGACTTGGAGCAGTCCAGGCTGAAGCTGCGCGTCTGGAGGGCTCGCTCCAGCTCGGCCAGCTTCTGGCGCTCGTTGAGGATCTTCAGGCGCTTGACGAAGGGCAGGCCGCAGTACTCCGGCGACAGATCGAACACGCTCTGGTAGAGCTTCCTGCGACCGCCATTGCCGCCCAGCTCGGAGAGTTCGCCGTCGGGCAGATGCTGCTCGGGCTTCTGGAGGCGCAGGCAGTCCCGTCTGGCGGAGGTGGCACCATTGGCTGTGGTCCCCATTCCCATTCCCATCTGGTTGAGCTCCCGCCGCTGGCCACCGGCTCCCGAGGAGCACGTGGTGCTGGATGAGCTGTGGCCATGATGATGCGATCCATGGTGATGATGATGATGCCGCGGTGAGCGGGAGCTGCTCCTGGCGCTGTGATGACGCTGCGGCGGTCGCGGGTGCTGCTCCATCTGCTGCGGTATGTTGCTCAGCGAGTAGTTCTTCAGCGGCGTCTCGGGGTCATCCGTGGGCGAGCAGTTGGTCAGGCTGGTGTAGCTGGAGGACATGAGCGTGGCCAGCTTCAGCTTGGACCAGGGCTTGATGGGTGTGCCGTCGGTGTCCGTGTCCGATTGCATTGGCGGCGTCGTGCCCATGGCCATGCCTATCCGATGACCCGGCGGCTTCACCACCCTCTTCGATATGGTGGCTATGCCAGGACCTCCCGCTCCTCCCAGGCCCAAGCCCAGTCCCGCTCCAGCCGCGATCGGATCCTCGTGCTTGGCCACCAAGGCTAGCGACTTGGGCGGTTCCTTCTTGGCAATGGCTCCTGTACTCGGACCCGGCGAGCTGCTGGACATTCCTCCGCCACCGCCGCCCTGCAGCTGCTGGATCTTCTGCTTGAAGGACACTTTCATAATGGGCTTGATCTGGGCCACCGTCAGCGATTGTCCTCCGGAGGTGGTCGAGCTGGAGCTTCCGTTGGCTCCGCCGGGTACTCCCACTCCCGAGGCTCCTCCAAAGTGCGAGTCGATCTTGCTGCTTATGTTGGGCGGCGTGTTGACCTGGGATCATCAGGGATTTGGAGCAAGGATTAGAGAAAGAGAGATTGATGAGCATGTTAATAGGTAAGATTAATTAAACTCTCATTATCGCACGCTTCTTCTAAGTTGAGCTCTTAACCGGAGGATTGGACTTAATTTACTTCCAATTTAATTAAATTTAATTTAGTCAAACAGAAAGAAGTTTTCCTTATTCTCTGGTTAGGTTCCAAGATAAACTTGGCATTTAATCAACTAATTTCCAGTTAAAAGTAACCAGAGGTTAAGGAAAAACTACAAACAGAGTACTAAGTATCTTTTCCTAAGGTTTTGGCAACTAATTTTGGTTATGAGTTATCTGTACTTTGGTTTTGTTTTGTTTTTCGATTTAATTTTTGCTTTACCATGACGACGCCGGGTTCGGCAACGATGGCCTGCGGCTCGTTCTTAATTTTCAACTGCTGCAGTCGCTGGATCAGGGGAAAGCCTTCGCTGAACTCGCGTTCGGGCTCCTCCTGGATCGATTCCTGCGGCGATAACGTACACGTTACATGTGAGTGAGGTGGAGATTTCTGTGGTGGTGTGGACTTAACAGCTCGCTCTTCGCGATCCTAGTGCAAGACACATAAAGACACATACAAAACTACTGTTTAGGAGCTGGGGATTAATTACATACAACACGAATTTCTGGGTCTCGGGTCGATTAACCGGTTAGCTAAACGATAGCAAAACGTAAACGTGGAAACGATAAATGCAAATTAAAAATTATGAGATGTCAACGGGTGTCCGTCCTACTGTAATGTATTCTCGGATCTCTATATGTTTCATATACATATTACACATATGACACATATATGCATCTCTAAAGACAGAGCTCCTGTTCCGTTGGAAAATCAAAAATGGTACAAGAGACACACATGTAAAAGTCACTAAAGCGGAAGCAGGGGGGAAAACACTATGGAAAGCATCTAGTAAAGCTCGGAAAACAGGAACACCAGTTCTAAGGAGGAGTCTCTGTTTTTTTAAATTAACCGATTGCCTGTAAATGTAATGTTAAGGGGTTAGAGGTTAAAGGCCAATCTTGGAATTTTAATTTGAGATCTTCTCTTAAAGAAGGGTTTCTAATTGTTCCTAAATACTTATTGCATTAGTTTGTTATTTTTGTAGTATTTTTTCAAAAGCCTTAATTGCGTAACGTGCTGAATTGCAATGATGAAGAAGATCGTCGGGACTAGCACACTGATCTTATGTGAATTTTGTTTTTTGTTTTTTTTTTTTTGGGTGCACTAACAACTTGTACAAACTGCATTACAATGGTTTCGAAACAATGTATACAAATGCCAGAGTCAAAGTCTGTGTTGTGTTTCTTAGTGTTGTGTGTGAGTGTGTGCGGAGAGAGCCACTGTAAGTATTAATTTATTAATTAATTAATATTTAGATCAAATATTGGAATAGATGCAACAGTGTTTGCCAGCAGGGAACTGTCATTCAGGTAGTTTGCAATTAAATAAAAGGAGAATCACTATTAATGATATTTCTTTATGCACTTTTTATTTCGACAAATCAAAGTTTAAAAATCTCAAAACTAAGCTAAAAAGCATTAATTTCACATCACAAAACTGAATCATGATGGTCTTTGTTTGGATAATAAATCTAACTATTCGAAAGTTGCCAAAATTTCCCTAAAATTTTCCGAAGCTCAAAATGTGAATGTTTCTTGCTACCTTTAACAGTTCCCCTCTGAAGCTCAATTTCAGTTTATCAATTATTTTTTTTTTTTGTCTTCAAACAAGAGGCTTTTCCGACTCTGTACTGTGGTGTGTGTGTGTTGTTTTTCCATCTGTCAAGCTCTTCATTCACTGCTCTGTGTGTTTGTCTGTGGGTCTTGTGGGAGAAAAACCATTTAAAGCCATTTCCAGTTGGGGGGTGGGGAAATGTGAAAATGCGAAAATGTGGCAAAATGTGTGAGTGTGTGTGTGTGTTGGTTTTTGGATGTCAAAACGAAAGTCGAGCAAAGGTGAGTGTGTGTGTGTGTGTGTGTGTGTGTGTTAGCTGTGGGTGTATAACCAGGAGAGCTGTGGTTTCCGGTGACTTGGTGGCCTGTGCCCGTGGCAGTGCCTCGCCTCTCACCTGTTTCTCCTTGAGCAGCCGCAGGCGCTGCAGGAGCGGCAGCCCGGCGCCAATGGGGCTGGGGGTCTTGTCGTGCAGCTCGTCCTTGGCCTCGGCACTGTCCGCATCCTTCTCGTCGGATCGGACGCGGGACATGCGCTTCAGCATGATCTTGCTGCCGCGCGGCGATGTGTTATGCAGTGGCTGCATCTCCAAGGACTCGTCGCTCTTTCTAGAGGTCCTGCAGCAGTGGGAATAATGGAAAAATATATAATGTAATGAAAGGATAAATCATATTTCATGGTAGAACCAATATTTAAAGTCAAACTGCTGGGAATATGAATGAGAAAACTATTTTAGGGCTAAGAGATAGCTTAAAGGAAATTAAATATATTTAGCAAAATATTTATATAAGCTGACAACTCACTCCCACCTGGACTTCTTCAGCACGTTGCGGAACCCCTTGACATCGTGCTTCAGCTTGTCCACGATCTTCTTGGAGGCACTGTTCTCGCTGCTATCGCTCTGATGCACCTGTCCCTGGTGGTGACCCTGGTGGCTCTGGTGGTGGTGCGGATGGGCGGCTGCATAGGCTGCCGCCTCCTTGTCACTCTGCGCCTTCGCGTACTTCTTGTTCACGCAGCGGACCTCCATAAGCCGCTTTCGGCCCAGCGTCTGCAGGATCTCCTGGGCATCGGGATAGTCCTTCATGGCAGCCAGGACATCCTCGCGGGAGAGCGAGAACAGCTCCGAGTAGCCCACAGAACGGACATCAGCCGTGCGTCTGTAAGAAATAAATATGTATTTATATAAATGTAATAATAGAAATGCCAAGAAAGTAAGCTAAGTTCGCAAATCGGAAATTGCGAGTCATGAGTTCAAGCTAGGTTCCACCAGGCGGATACGTAATATGACGTGAATATTACGCATACGCCACGTTTAACCACCAAGCTCAACTTTCGCGTGAAAATTCGTAATTTTTTAGTTGTTGTAGACAATCACTAAGTATCTTTCAACAGTAAGTAAATCTGAACAGTAAGTATCTATGACCAGTAAGTATCTCTGATAAGTTATTAACTCTGAACAGTTAGTATTTATTAAGAGTAAGTATCAATGAACATTAAGAAACTATGAGCAGTTAGTAACTATGATCAGTAAGTATCTATGACCAGTAAGTATGTATGTATGATCAGTTACTAACTTTGAACACTAATAAACAATGACTTGCAACTTTTGTACACAACACATTTCTGAGACTCGGCCGGCAGCACTCACTTCGTTCCGGGGATGTTTGAACCAGTTGAGAATCATAAACATGAGCGAAATTTGTTTTGAACCAATTGAAGTGCAAGCTATTGAATTAAACTATGGAGTTATTCTTCAATAAAATTATACAAGAATCAAAGCTGGAGCATGGCGAATCGGTGGACTATATATATATACATATATATGCTGCCATAGGAACAATCGGACGATTTAAAGAATTATGATCATTAAGTAACTCTGAACATTAATTAACTATGAGCAGTAAGTAACTCTGAATAGTGAGTATCTATGACCAGTAAGTAACTATGATCAGTAAGTATCTATGACTAGTAAGTAACTATGATCAGCAAGTATCTATGACTAGTAAGTAACTATGATCAGCAAGTATCTATGACTAGGTAGTATGAATGTATGATCAGCTACTAACTTTGAATACTAATAAACAATGACTTGCAACTTTTGTAACACAACACATATCTGATACTTGGCCGGCAGCAGTCACTTCGTTCCGGGGATGTTTGAACCAGTTGGGAATCATAAACATGTCAGAGATTTGTTTTGAACCAATTAAAGAGCAAGCTATTTCAATGAAACTATGGAGTTATTCTTCTATAAAATTATACTAGTATATAAATCGGACCATGGCGAATCAGTGGACTATATATATACATATATATGCTGCCATAGGAACAATCGGACGATTTATAGAACTTTGATCAATAAGTAACTCTGAACATTCATTAACTATGAGCATAAAATTAAATTCGGAAAGCTGTTCTGTGCTAGTTTTTAATATATTAATAAATCTCCATACACAATTTTAAACGTAATCTATTTTGAAATTTTTCCAATTTTTATAAAACTTTACAGATGCAAAAATGTAATCATAAAATTACACAAAAAAAATTTCAAAATTTTTTTTCTGTCTGAGATGTCTAAATCGACTCGGCTTTCGATGCTGATCAAGAATATATATGATTTATAGGGTCGGAAATGGCTCTTTCGTAAGTTATAAGCTTCTGACTGAATTTATAATACCATTCTTTGAACCGATATTTACCTATATTTATATGAAAATTTGTTCTACAAATCAAAATCTAAAAAACTCATAACTAAGCCAAAAAAGCATAAAATTCAATTCGGAAAGCTGTTCTGTACTAGTTTTTAATATATTAATAATTCTGCATACTCAATTTTAAACTTAAACCAATTTAAAATTTTTCCAATTTTTCAAATCTTTACAAATGGAAAAATTTAATCATAAAATACAAAAAAAAAATTCAAAAAATTGTTTCCTGTCTGAGATGGCTAAATCGACTCGGCTTTCGATGCTGATCAAGAATATATATGATTTATAGGGTCGGAAACGGCTCTTTTATATCGTAAAAAGCTTCTGACTGAATTTATAATATCATTATTTAAACCGATATTTATCTATATTTATATGACAATTTGCTCTACAAATCAAACCCATGAGTGAGACTTGTTTTGAACCAATTTAGGAGCAAGCTATTGGATGAAACTATGGAGTTATTATTAAATAAAATTATACTAGTACATAAGTTGGAGCATGGTGAATCGGTGGACTATATGTATACATATATATAGCTGCCATAGGAACGATTGGAAAGTTTTAAGAAAAAAATTGTAACTTCTTCAGTTTTCAACAGATTTTCATCAAATTTGATATATATATAGCCATTATATATTAATCCAAAATCGTGTGTGAAATTTGAAAATCGGACTACTATATTATATAGCTCCCATACAGACGATCTGATCTGACGATTTGATCCGAGCTGATCGAGAATGTTTTCAATGTTTTGCAAGCTTTTGACTGATATTATTATACCCTGCAAGCGTATAGAAATAGGACTCACTTGTTCAATCCATCCAGATTGAGTATGCCGATCTCTCCAAAAAAATCACCCGCCTTCATGGTGGTCAGGACCTTGCCCGTCTCGCTCAGCACCTCCAGGATGCCGTCCGCAATGATGAACATCTCGCGGGCCACCTCGCCCTTGCGACAGATGGAGTCGCCCGGCGTAAAGATATAGGCCTTCATCTTGAGCACCAGGTCGTGGAGGAACTCCGGCTGGCACTCCTGGAAGATGGTCACCTTCTTCAGCACACTGAGATTGACATGTAAGGCCAGTTCGGTTTTCAGTTTGTCGGGAAGCAGGCCCAGCGCCGTGTTTATGTCACCACCGCCCTGAATCCTGCCGCGGGACCAGCTATAGTCGTACCACCGAAGCACGCGACGCTTCATGCCGCCGGGCACCTGCAGGGATATAGTGTATCGGTTACAGTAATATATAGTAAAAATAAAAATAAAATGAAGAGCACCTTGTGGTGGCGCATGTAGGTCTTGGCCCCGTCCAGAAGGCGCTCGAACTCCAGGCGATTCGCATTACGGTTCGTTATCACATTGCCCACCTGGCCGACGATGGTCGCGAAGATAAAAACACCAATCAAATAGCTAACGATCGTAAAAATATATCTGTTGAAAAGAAAAGAGAGAAAGGCGCACAGGTGTGTCGCCATCAATTAGTAGAGCACACACACAAGACAGGAATAAGGATGTAACATATCTATTTTGTGGAACAGATAGAGAGTGGTTTTTGGTGAAGGCTTCATTCCTAGAGCACTTTTCTCTCTTAATTTTGATTGGGAAAATAAATAGATGTGGTATACAAATACTTAGTAACACACTTTTAAAACAGCTTTATATATCTATATAAATTTCTTTTGATTTAAATAAGGTAAAATAACTTTTAAGACAGAACAATAATGAAATTATTCTTAATAAAATAATTGTATGAGAAATCATCAAGAGTTCGTTAATTCTATCTATACATAATTAAGTTTATCTAAAATTCCATTAGAATTTTTGAATATTTCTTAAAATAACCTGTATTTTAAGCACACTCTTAAATTATTTATGAATAAAGCCACCACTCGCTCTCTTTTTCAAACACTTTCTCCGTTTTGCAAGCTCAATCAAAGTTTTCGAAAGTCAACAAAATGTTGTGTTTGCAATAATATTATTTCCTTTTCTTTTTTTTGAAGTTAGCCAAAGGCACAAATATCAATGGAATTGTTCAAGGCTGTCGCACGCTTTCGAAAACTTTGATGCCAAACGCTTTTAGGGGGCAGGGCAGAGTTAGCAACAGATCGATTTGAGGAGTTAGAAAACAAGAACGCCAAGGAATCCGAATCGGTGGACAGCCCCCAAACAAATTGCATGATATTCGCTCGATTTGATTGACCTTGCCTAAGGCAGTGAGTTAGTTACTTAGTTGCCTGGTTAGTTAGTTACTAATCAAAGTTGGTTGAGTCTCGTACCCATAGCTAGAGCCAAACTGGAGCAGTCGCGACTTGATGCCTCGCCTAGGTATTGATCGTGGGCCGTCCACCGAAAAGTTCGGTCTGATTGGTGGTTTGTTAAAGGTTGATTGATTTGTAATTAATAGTAATTAAAGAAAAACCTCCCATGCTGGGGATTTTAAAGCATTCAAAACCCTGTCTAAGAGCATGAAACATTTTATATTTCATATTTGAAGACCTGATTTCGAGCGGTTCAAAATCTCTCAGCAACTATAAATATTTTTCAATATTTCAAGTTAATACTCACTCCGCATTCGTCTCCGGCGTGGGCAGGTCCCCGATGGTCGTCAGGGTCAAGGTCGACCAGTACAGGCTGCCCAGATACTTGCGGGTCAGGGTCGCATAGTCCCCGGGTCGATATGGATACACCCAATCGCCCTGCAAGTTCACAAAATTTAGTTAAATGGGTGTGATAATAATTAATGCGAATCCTTACCTGAAAACCCTCCGCCTCGGAGAGTAAAAAATAGAAACAACCGAACCAGTGTGCCAGTATTAACAGGATATGAATTAGGTTAACAACGCGCCATAAATTTGGCCAAACTGTTCTACTCTCTACGATGTAATAAAATCTCACAGATCGATAAACCTGAAGGGGTTAATTCGAGATTAGAGTTCAGGGTATCTTAAGCTTAAGTCTTAGACCCGAGAACTTACTTTAAAAAAGCGCGTAAAACGCAAGAGCGGATGTGTGCCCATCTTGAGCTGCAGGAGATCCAATGGTATTAGCGCTATCATATCGAAGATGAAGTCACGCGAGTGGACATAGTGGCAGGCCAGCTTCCTGTCGTCGTATACCTGGGAAGATTTTTCGGATAATATTGATTAGGAAATATAAATACAAAATCCAATTTAATATTCAATCGATACTCACCATTAGGCCCTGCTCCAGATAGCCTGTGCGTAATTGAACTATTATATCTAGGATAAATACAACATCTGTCATCGAATCGCAGATGAGCCAGAACGTGGGCACAGCTTGCTGTCCAGGAATAGCGCCAGAATTCAAAATGAGAAAGGATGTTACGTTTAACGGTCGGGCAGGGGAACTCCGTGCTGTGTGCTCTTTTTGGGTCTATTTTTATGGCCAGGTCAAGGGTAATTAAGCGGCGAATGCAGTTGACAATTGCAAATGCGGGACTACTTTTGCGGCCGGGCTAAAGGTCAAAGTCAACACGACTCCCCCGCTCTAATCTGATGGCAAACATCAGCTCTAACCAAAAACATAGCTAACTGGGCCATAAACAAACATTTGCCCAGGCCCAAGCGACTGCGTGTCTTATAATTGAGTCATTACAAGGCAAAGACCAGGAGCAAACAGATAAAAAAGAGGATAATTTTGTCGGTCACACACACACACACAGGTACACACACACAAGCACACACACAGGCACAGGCAGGTGACGACCCGGGGACTCCCCTTTATCCCTTCGCAGGGAACGCAGTTGGCCAACTGTCGTTACCAACTGAAACCCTTTGCCGCGTAATGACAAAAGGGTGTTGGCTTACACAAAGGACGAACAAAGGTCCTTCCAAGGGAAAAAGGCGAAATGGAAGTCACAATGAAAGGAAAAACGCCACGGCAAAGGCTGGACAGGGACATGAACAAAAAAAAATAAAGTAAATAAATAGAAAAGCGTGGCAACAAGATAAGCCACCGCCGCCACCTTGGCACTCACCTGCAGTTCGGGAAAGCTCTGCCTCACAATTAGGGTCCATAGGTTATATAGAACACATACAGTTAACATCATTAACCAATAGAAGTAAAAATTCTCATCTGGATTAACGACGGATCGTCGTTTCTGCAGATAGCGTCGCCGTCGCTTAACACTCTTGTCGACGTCACCAGAGGCACTTTCTGAACCCGTGTCTTCAACAGTTTCCTGTTTATAGTTTGTGAGGTGTTAATCAGTGGATAATGTAGGAATTCAATCGTTATCTCTCACCTGTGTTTCGGGTATCTGTCTAGTCGAGAAACGCTTCAGGAAGGAGTCTTCGCGCTTGAGCGGTGGTTTCTTCTGTATCGCCGATGAGATTTGCACGGTGGTGCGCAGCTTCATCCAGCGTTGGTTCGATCGCGTCCTGTTTTCCGTTTTAATTTCGCAGAAGATTTACACAAATAGAGACGTATATACATAAATATATATAAATTGGGTTCGTTACAGGATTCTTTAGGTTCTTTAGAAGAGAGGAAAAAGGGATTGTCTCACACAAACAAACTACGGTTAGCTACCAAATAAAATGAGTTCCTTTAAGGATAAGGGGGTTCAAGGTTATCAATGGTTGGCAACTAAAGACAGATCTTTCCTACTAAGCGTGTGCTCACGTTACGGGTTGTGCCTTATACAGAGAGATAGAGATAGAGAGAGAGAGCTTAATCACTTACGTAACACGAAACATCAAACACTTACGCTAGTCGGTGAACGGTTACGGGCTACGGGTTACGGGTTACAGGTAAATGGGTTACGGGCTACACAACACGGACTATGTTACGCATACTTAGTGGCAAGACAAGGATGGGGTATAAACCCAAAGGACCGTAACACAAAGGCAGGCAACGGCATTGGTAACGGTAACCTTAACGCTAATAGTAACAGTAACAGTAGGAGTAACAGTAACGGTAACGGTAACGGTAACATTAACAGCAACAGACAGCTAAGAGAGAGAAAGAGAGATAGAAAGAGATAGATGGGCATGCGGAAATACATAAATTGTTATGGCTAGTCTTCGATATTTCCATTAATCTACAAATGATATTTATCGATATTGATAGATGTGCCAGGGAGTTGCAAACGAAATCAACTCAAACTCAAATCGAATATAGAATCAAATGTAATCAAACGAAATCACAATCATAGGCGTTATGCAATCGACGGGAAATGAGGAAAATTGCAATTGGAAAACAATTTGAGCGGCAGCAATAGCAGCAGCAGCATCAGGAACAGCAGCAGTAGCAGCAGCGAGACAGAGACAGACCAAGAGCGAAAGAGAAAATCAGACAGATAGAGACAGGGATTGTGAGAGAGACAGAGTGAGAACAGGTCTGTGGGCTGGGGGGCGGTGGGAAAGTGGCCAAGAATTTTCCGCTATCGATATAAATAGCTCTTGGCGGCAGCGGCGGCCTTGGGTATGGGGTTGGAAAAGTGTTGAACTGTCTGCCAGGTGTTTTCATATTCTTCTTTCTTTTTTTCTTTGGGGGGGAAAACCAAGCAAGGAAAAGCAAGCAAAAATAAACAAAAAACTGAAAACTCGCTTTTCTCGAGGTGAAGAAATGCCCTTAGAGAAAACTGAAACTAAAAAGTTTTTCACAATTAAAAGCAACGGAAAAAAAATGAAAATGAAATCAGAAGGATTACACTCCGGCAGACCGAAGCTAAGGATACTCTTGCCCCCGGTGAGGGTATATAATCTCACTGAGCTAAGTCTTAAAAACTTCATTAATCACACTTAAAGCTTTAGACAGGCAAAGGAAAATGTAGAAGGAATAACAATTAATTTTGTCATCATTTAAATATTTCCTAGCTTTAAAATTATTTACTATTTCTTTGGATTAGTAAAACTTGTTTTTAAAATGAAATAAATACTATATCCCGTATCAGGGTTTAATTATTTTCTCACTGGTTTTAACTCTTGCAGTTATAATTATATTAATTAAAAATGAAATAATAATAATCAATTTCTGTTGCTTATAATAAATTTAATCAAATTTGAAAGCTATTTTTCCACTGAAATGTAAATAATATTTCCCCAAGCTGGCAGACTTGAATAACGTCCTGATTTATGGTTTTCTCAGTGTTCCTTCCGTCTGCCATCATTTATAATGCTTAAAATGTTTCAAAAAAAAAAAAACGAAGAATAAACAAAAAATACGTAAATAATATATATATACAAAATATTGCAACCGTCATCAATCAGTAGTGATTGTAATTTATGTACTTTTAAAACACAAACCAAACCCGGACAGGCGGACGACAATTACCATACGATACTCCAGCGAGATATAGAGTGACGGGGCAAGAGTATAGCTAAGCACTACGAGTACGAGTATATACGAACTCGATCTAGGACTAGATCTACAAAGGATAAAGGGACAGGGGACAGGGGACAGGGACTTGGGTGCGGAGACTGGGACAAGGACGGGGGTTTACCACTTTTTTCAACTTTTGCTCAAGCCGCGCTCAGGGTCGCCATTCAATCATCTGTTCTGCTATAGCATCTAGGGTACTAGGTCTGATTCAATTTGATTCGGCTTGTATACATATAATATATATATAGTATATACACATGGTTTATATGTACAGTTGAGTTATTTTGGGTTTTTTGAAAGATGATGTTTTCTGATGCATTAATTGTTTTGTTTTTTTGTTTGTTTTGCTTAATTTATTCACAATTATTGTTCGCATTCAGCATATCAAATGTTTCATACGGTTTAGGGCTTGCTTTTTCTGGTATTATGTTTTTAATTCATCTCCTTAGAGGTTATTTTATTGGTTTATGGTTTTGTGGCTAAATTTCATTGTCTCTAGATATTTACAGCGGTGGCTAAGTTATTACGCATACGTCGTGTGGTACACGATGAGGTACGAAAAACGAAAGCGATTGGTAGCAATGCAGTTTTAGCTAAACGAAAGACAAAACCAAAGGAAAACAATGATAGCTATAGGTGTATAATGTGGGTGTGGTTGTGGGTGTGGGTGTGGGTGTGTGTGGGGTGTATGTCCTATGTCTCCTTGTTTGCTTTTTACAGGGTGTACTTGGGTGTACTTGGGTGGGTGTATTTTGGGAGCTGCGGTTTTGGACCTGCTCAAAACCCTCTACTCGCTATTATTTATATATATTATTTATATGTATTTTGGTATATGTCATGTTGTTAGTAAGTATATATATGTATGTTTCTGTTGCTGCTTTTTGCGGCCTATTCAAATGCAAAGCGCGCACATGCCGAGATCATCCTTATCAACGGCCATCACCATCATCATCATAATAATCGCAATCATAATCAAATCAAAAGCAGGACAAAGCTCGTTATGTTTCCATGTGTGTGTGTGTGTGTTCTATGTTTGTATTTGTTGTGTTTGCGTGTGTGCGTGTGTGTGTGCAGAGACAAAACCGAGAAATCATAAGGAACGCAAGAGAATAAACTTACCAATCGGAATCTGGATCTGAAGCTCCATCTCCGATACGCGATTTCCTAAACGAGTTTCGAAAGTTTTTCATTTTCATTGTCATTGTTTTGTTATTTGTATTTGTTTTGTTTTTGTTTTTCATTTTATTTTAATTCGTATATATGTATGTATATATATTTTCTTTCTATTTTCTAATAGCTATTTTCTATTTGCTATTTCCTGGTTGATATTGTTTTTCTGGGCTTAAAATATATATATATATTTTTGTTTTGTATTCATTTGGTTTTGATTCAATTTGTTGTGTGAGTTGTTTGATAGAAATAGATATATATATATTTTTATATATATATGAAGAGTATATATATTTTCGCAGAAAGAGAAACAGAGAAAGAGATAGCTAGATAGGTAGAGAGAGAGGGGGTAAAGGGATGACAGAGACAGATACGCATACATATGTATATAAATATAGGGGCTTTTTTGGCCGCATTTCCCGCATTTGCCGGCGTTAGTTAACCCATGGCTAGCCAGCTGCCCAGCCCATTTCAGCCAAGCGGAAAAAGGCTTGCTGCACGATAAGATTACCCCGCTCACACACACACACACACTCATATATATATATGTTGTACAAGTGTGTGTGTGGGTCTGACCCCATTGTTGTTTTGGGGTCAGCTGAGCCATTTGTGGACTTTCGATTTAATATAAATTGAGAATGAGCTTGTTAGTTTTGGCGTTTCCCAATTTCTCTCGCTTCTTCGATTTCGATGCGATTCGTTTCGATTCGGGTTTGGTTTTTGCGTTTGGTTTGGGTTCGAAAAGGTTAAAGAGCTGGGCCCCGGGTATTAAATGGCCTTCTTTATTGCACCACAAATCATCCAGCGAAATGTTAAAGGACTCTCCTGTTTGTTCAGCGTGTGTGCCGAGTGTGTCGAGTGTGCCGAGTGTGCCGAGTGTGTGTGGCCATGTGTGGTCGCCTGAAATTGTTATTGTTTAATGGCTGCATGATGTCCGATTTGGGGGCGCCCTGGGGTTAACCGGCGATTCGGTGCCTAAGCCGGATTTCAATTAACGCCTCTGTCTCGATTTCTGGCATCACGTTTTGTTCGGTTTTCAGTGCTTTTACACTCATTGCAGGGTATGAGAAGTACGTTAGAAAATCACAACAAACTAAAAGACCAAAAAACCTGAAGAAAGTGTTAATAATTAAGCTTTAATATTATTTATTGCAGCGTTGCAATTGATTATATATTTTCACCTCCACTCTGTTGCTTTTCAATCATTTCTGTATTAACGAACTCTGCTTTTTGGCTTTAGAAATATTTATTTCCTTAAGAATGTTGTCCACTTTGTTAGTTTAAATAGCCCGTCGCCTAAAGGTATGCTATGATTAGGGCAAGCCTATGACCGGGTATTCTGCGGTCGAAACACTCTACTCATTCGGCTTTCAATTTTTCTCCCTTCTGCTTTCTGTTTTCGATTTTTGTTTTTCGTTTTTGGGTGTTTGCGGCCATCCCAGCCGCAGGCCATGACCGGACGGAATGCTAAACAATCGCGTTCGGTACGCCACTTGACTGACTGGCCGCACATCATGCTCCACCAGATGGAGCACACACACTCAAACACCACACAGAGAGATGGAACAACAATTGAAAAATTCCGCCAAGTCATTTGGCCAACGTCCTGCTCTTCCTGGCTCTGCCTTCCCCCAAATGCTGCTGGTGGGGATAAATTTATAACAGTCTGGGGACACTTCACACCCGGCGAAAGTGTATGAGAGCCACCATCAGCTTCCAGAGTGTCACGGAAATTCTCGAGGGAAATCTACTTGAAAAGCCGACAGTTTAAAAGGGATTTCCATAAAGGTATTTTTTTATATAAATTCTTATTAATGAATAATTTAAAAGGTTACACGAATAATACAAATTATAGGACAAAGTTATTTAAATGAAGATACAACTTCCCCCTCAGTGGCTCCCAAACAACCTCCTAATGGGAGCACTTTTAAAATTTGTAAACCAAAAAATTAAAAGCACAAAGCACTTTGCTCTGCAAGTGCACTCGTAAATCGCAAATTCCCCGAATTAGGTTTTTGTGACACCCCCCAGAAAGCTGTGTGTGTGCGGCTTATTGCCCGTGAGTAATACCCCAATTATTTTGGGTCATCCTAGTTAATGAGCAGCCCGAGAGAGAGAGAGAGAGCTGCTGACAATGCGATAAAAGCCAACAAAATATATATATCATCGCCGGATGTGAGCGGCATTTCAAGTGCTTGCAAATCAAAACACAATCGCCGGATCGAACAAATGAATTTGATTGCGAATCAGGAGTCGCTTGTGAGGGAATTACCTAACCGCAGCACCTTCAAGGGGGGAGCGGGTGTAATTGGTGTGTGTTGTGTGTGCCTCGTGCATGCATCAAATACATACATACATTCACATACATCTGTATATCTATGCAAGTGAAAGCGAAAGGGAAAAGTTGGCGACATCAAATGGCAAATCGGAGGACGAGGCAGGACTCTGGCTGCAATTGGTGCATAAATTCTGGCAGGCTCCTTCATGGCCTTCTCGGTGGCATTCTGTTCACTTGGCGGCTCCCTACATAAATTTGCAATTTTCTAAATTCAAATTCTTTGTAAGTTGTCAGTCAGACAGACAGAGAGAGGGAGAGCATGCACAATGCCGGGGAAAAAGGGGTGGATTTCGTTGGCATATGCATAGGCGCATATGTTGGTGTGTTGGTGTGTGCTGGTGTGTTGGTGTATTAGGGCTGGTGTGTTGGTGTATTTGTGTCAAAAGTTCGCCTACATTGCAGCGCCAGCAGCTTAAACATATCGATTCAGGCGCACACACACAACACACACTGACAAAAGCCACTTAAACTTTCGACTGTTTGCCGAGATTTTTGCCAGCAAAAGTTCCTCATATACTGGCCTTACTCATGCACAGAAAGAAAAAAAGGGATATACAATTATAAAAGAATTTCCATCCCTAAAAAAAAAGCGTTTTGTTTTGTTACTCTTGGAACATGTCCATAAATATGTAATAGAGAGAGCAACTAAAGAGGAAGCCATTTTTTAATTACTCTAAATTGAAGGGAAAAGAAGAACCATTGCGTAGATCCTTGAAATGTAATAATAATAATATATAAACTATTTCTCCCTCTGTACCTAGACACTTGAGTGTGTTCGTGTGTGTGTGTGTGTGTGTTGGCATCAAGTTGTTTAGCTGAAGCAAACTTTTTAAGTTGCCCTTTGCCAAAAATGAACCGAAACTAGAACAGAAAGTGGTAAAATGTATATCCTTCCAAGACACCTCTTGTCCCCTCTAACCCGGGTGTAACTTTGTTGCGGGGTTAACTACTAGTACAGTGTTACCTCTGCTCCCCACCACAGTAACCATACATACATAACTTACGCATATGGCTAATAAATGCGAATTCGCGTCAACACTTATTAAATGCGTAAAACCTCTTTGCACGGAAGTTGAACGAAAGTTGCCCCCAAAGTTTGCTCACTTGACAAGGATTAACTGTACCCAAGTGAAAGAGAGGACAGTGGGGCATATGAGAGAGAGAGAGAAAGGGCTAGTGGGAGAGTGGGATAGAGCTAGCGAACGAGAGCGAGCAGGCGATATTGAGTTTCAGTTTTAGTTGAGAGTTCAGAGTTGAGTTCAGTTCAGTTCAGAGAGTTGAGAGTGGCATTCGCTTACACATCAATGATATATGGGTTATATTATTAGAGTTACACATAGGTTTCATACACTACGGATTGGGTTAGTAGGGGGAACAGAGACAGAGACAAAGACAGAGTGAGATGGAAAGTGAGAGGGCGTGAGCGGGCGAGAGAGCGGGGTTTGATCCAGAAATGTTGCGGTTAGTTGGTTGGATGCGGTTAGTATTTATCGATTGCTCCATCGATTAACATTTATCGGGAGCGGATCGAGGACCTTACTGGGCCAGGATCTCTCTCGCACACACCCGCACAGGAGAGTTTACACACACATATATATGTTATATTAAGGGATGCACAGAGAATACAAAGAAGAGAGCCAGAGAAGAATTATCTTTTGTACTTCATTTGTAAATTTCAACTCTAAGAATAATTATAATTTTAAATTCAATAATGTTAGAATATATCTTCTTTACTTTTAGAATATTTTAATTCTTCAACTTTTAAATATTATACAAAGTGTTGTTGTCTCTGCTCTGTCCTTTCTGTCTCTGTGCCTTGTTGGTTAGTCAATGGCTAGGACAACGCGTATATAGGCATTACGGATATAGTGTGGAACACTGGTACATATGGAATATACGAGGGGGGGAAGGGGTAAAGGGGGCTTTCCTCTTGATGCGCCTCAGCGAGCAGTAGTAGGCCATCACGGCTCGCAGGCTCTTCCACTTCGTTGTCTGCTGGCCATTCTGGTTGTGGTTGTGGCTGGTATTCCCGTACTGATTCTGATTCTGCTTCTGGCCATGGCCATCCGGACAGAGCTCCTCGGGATGCTCGCTGATGAACGAGGAGAGCGTCTTCATGGCGGGCAGCGACCTGCCACTGCCAGTGCCACTCCCCACCGGCGTGTACGCACTCTGGTCGGAGGACGGACTGTTCACATGGAGGCGCACCTGGCGCCGCTGATATGGATGAGGATGTGCCGGCGCCAGTATAAGTCTATCCCTCTCTGTGTACCTTAAACTAGTGTTGGTAGTGGTGCAGCCACAAGAATGGTGCTGCGCACTGGTCAGCGACGAGCTGCCGGATCTATATGTGATCCGATCCGATCCGATTCGAAAAGTGGTTATATACGATCAGACACGGTTGCCATATATATATGGTTAGTAATAGTTTTAATGTCTCAAAATTGACTGGGCTTCCATTTTGCCACTAAGTCTCCTCCAAAGTAGAATGATAAGAAAGGATAATGGATTTGAAATCACTTTGAAACGGGGCAAAACGTATGCTTTAACCTGAATAAATAAAATGCTTGCTTAAGGAGGCTACTTCCAGATATCATCATATAAAATAATGCCCACAAAAATATGCTTGATAAATAACTAAGCAAAATAATATAACTCTAAAATTCCAAAATTCCATTCTTAAATTCCAATTTCACAGTTTAAATAAGTGGAATAATTCAAAATTCCATGAAAAACAAACCAAATAAAATTGCCATAAGGAAATGCAGTAGAAATATAGCATACTTTCCAGCGCCCTTTTCAAGTGACTTCAAATCGTCATTGAGAAATACAGAAATAGGCTGTCTCTTATATGTAGACTCTATCAACTAAATAAGTAAGTAGTTAAAATGAAAGCCATGTTTTCTTTTGATTAAATTGTTGACTCGGCCACATAAACATTTTTGGGGACAACCGTGTGTGTGCGAGTACGTGTGTGTGGGCGTGTGTATTTGTGTGGTTTGGTTGTCATTCTGGAGTGGATTCTGAGCCAAGGGATTGGATTGGAGTGGCGTCGAGTGGCATGGCGTGTAGTCGTGTGCCAAGGAGAGTGCACATTAGCCTAAGGAGCTGGTGAAACTTCTTGCCCCCAAGGGACGAGTGTAACTCTTCCGCTTTTCCCTTTTGTTTTGTGGGCCAAGTTAATTAATGAAATCATGTACACACACACACACCTAGAGAGAGAGAGAGAACACACACACACCAAGACGGACATGGACAATCCCGGCTAATTGTCATTGCTAATTTCCTTTTTGCCACCACCACAATGGCACAATAAACACAAACACAAACAAAAGTTGTCACTGTGTGTCATGGTGTGTGTGTGAGTGTCCTTGCGACAGCTCCTTGCGACAGCTCCATTCAACTGCAAAGGCAAAAAAGTTCAAGCTTCGGGAAAACCTCAACATTTACTGGGCAAAGGACACAGTGCGTTTAGAGATTGTAAAGCCTCGAAACGGGCTTTAAATGTTGTCTTAAATTAAAAATAAAATAATTATAAATGAGAAGGAGCTTAATGTGAACATATATTTCCTTATAAATTAATTTATTTACAAGAATTTAAAAAACAAACCCATTCAAGGTGTTAGCTCTTTACACCCTTTCCAGATTTAATTTAAATATTATACTGGCTTACAGCCCTGAAACGCACTGTCTGCTGTATAGAACTGCCTCTGGACAGATCTAAGGCTGCTGATTAGATTAACCAGAAGCCGAACTGAAAACTTTTGATGTTACTCTCCGTCTCCCATTAACATTTACATTCCCATTCGCATTCACATTCACACATTCCCATTCAGATTTCAATTCCCCTTTCCCCTTGGCGTACGAAACTCCGGGAGACCGCAAAGGATATATAGGATATGCTGGGGACCTCATCATACAGACACACACAGTTATATACTGACATATACGGATGTGAGGGGGGACTTGCTAATTGCTAATTTAATTTAATTGAATTGAGTTGAACTGAATTGAATCGGTCCGGGCTTTTTTATTTGTCTTATTTTCTGTTATATATAAATTCTCTCTTTTTTTACCAGGACTGGGTTTCATCTGCTGTCCTGCGGATACGGATGCGAGTACGGATGTGATGTCGCTTACGGTTGATCAAATATGGCGTACAACAAAGCTGCCAAGGCGAACGAAGCCCAACAAAGTATGCTACACATTTATCAATTACGCTTACGGCACGTGTCTATATGTGTGTGAGTGTGTCTGTGCGTGTGTGCGTATAGGTGTGGGTCTAGGGGTGTGACTGTAGTGTGGTGTATGTGTGTGTGAGTGTGTGTGCGTGGACTGCAAGCAGAGCCGGATTATGTTTATGTGTTTGGTAACAACTTGGCACGATTTGAATAAATCATCTTTGTTATGCTCGTTTTTTTTTCGTTTCTCTTCTTTTCTTTAGCTTCTTGAGCTTTTCCTCTTATTTTTTAGTCCGCTTTCAACTTGTATTTTACAGCTATTCACGTCTTGGTGTGTGTGCACTGAGCGAAATGGAATTTACCTTTGCTCTAACAATTTTAGGTGAAAATTATATTATTTTGCAACTTAATAACTTATGACTGTTTAAATTTTTTAAATTCTTGGCATAGACCAACACAAGGAATGCTGTTTTATGGATAATAGTTCGATTTTAAATAGCTCTAGCTATTTGAAAGCAATTTTATCTAACTCTATCAATTCAAGTATTTCAATTTATAGGTGATTTAAATATTTCAACAATTGAAAATTCATATTTGTAAGATGTTTTTTTTTTAAGTTTTAAATTTTTAAATCATTGTCCTTTTTCGCTCAGTGCATGTGTGGGTGTTTATTCGGTTTTGGCAATAGGAAAAACGATGTGAGAGACCAAAAATCAAACTTACCGCTGACTGGGACTTTTACTGTCCGAGGAGTGGGCCGCACTGTTGTTGTCGTCGTCGCGGGCCATCGCCGACGCGCTGCTCTTATGATGCCGCTTGTGGTGGCCGCCATCGCTCGTCCCGGGTCCGCCGCTGGCTCCTCCTCCCCCACCACCGCCGCCGGAGCTACTGGTGCCCGTGGGACTAATGACATCCGTGTCGCTGTTGCAGTCGTGCACCTGGCGGGCCACATCCTTGACGAACTTGCCCGCTCCGTGCTCGTGGTCGTGCGTCTCCATCTGCAATGATCGTAGCAAAAAAAAAAATATAAATATATAAAAAAAAAAGTTTGAAAATGAACTGATAGTTTTCACATATTTATACCCTTGCAGTGTGTCAAGCCTATGATCAGAAAGTATCTATGGCCAGTAAGTAACTCTGAACAGTAAGTATCTCTGATAAGTTATTAAATCTCAACAGTATATATTACCAGTAAGTATCAATGAACATTAAGTAACTATAAGCAGTAAGTACCTCTGAACAGTAAGTATCTCTGACTAGTAAGTTTATATGCATGACCAGTTACTAACTTTGAACACTAATAAACAATGACTTGCAACTTTTGTAACAACACATTTCTGAGACTGGGCCGGCAGCAGTCACTTCGTTCCGGGGATGTCATCCTGGTCATCCAGATCCATTGCATTGGCCACGTCATATTTCTGGTCCCGAAGGCTGATCACTTGCACTATCACTATCGATGTTAACACTAGGTACCCCTAGGACAGACTGAGGCGCGCGCGACCTCTGCGCCTCTATTTATAGTTCCCGAGGAGAGAGTGGAGCAGAGAAAGTGAGTGTGAGTGGGCGGGAGAGTAGGAGTTGCCTCTAGAGATTAACATAGAGCGATAGGCATAGAGAGAGAGGGGGAGAGTCAGAGAGAAACAGCGAGCTATTTAATTAAGTAACTGTGATCGGTAAGTATCTATGACCAGTAAGTATGTATGATCGGTAAGTATCTATGACCAGTAAGTATGTATGATCAGTTACTAACTTTGAACACTAATAAAAAATGACTTGCAACTTTTGTACACAACATATTTCTGAGACTCGGCCGGTAGGAGTCACTTCGTTCCGGGGATGTTTGAACCAGTTGAGAATCATAAACATGTGCGAAATTTGTTTCGGAAGAAATTAAACAGCAAGCTGATTGAATGAAACTATGGAGTTGTTCTTCAATAAAATTGTACTAGTACATAAGTTGGAGCACGGCGAATCGGTGGACTATATATATACATATATATGCTGCCATAGGAACAATCGGACGATTATTAGAACTATGATCAGTAATTAACTAGGACCTGTAATTAATTATTATCAGTAAGAAAATATGATCAGTAAATATCTATGAACACTAATAAACAATGACTTGCAACTTTTCTAATGCGCGAGATTTTTATAAATATATAATCTAAATCTCTTAAATCTCTCGACTTGGCCTTCGATGCTGATCTGGAATATATATAATTTATATGCAAATTTTTTCTACAAATCAAAATCTAAAAAACTCATAACTAAGCCAAAAAAGCATAAAATTAATTTCGGAAAGCTGTTCTGTGCTTGTTTTCAATATATTAATAAATCTGCATACTCAATTTTAAACTTAAACTTATTTAAAATTTTTCCAATTTTTCAAAGTTTTACAAACGTAAAAATTGAGTCATAAAATTACACAAACAAAATTTCAAAATTTTTTTTCTGTCTGAGATGGCTATATCGACTCGGCTTTCGATGCTGATCAAGAATATATATGATTTATAGGGTCGGAAATGACTCCTTCACATCGAAACAAGCTTCTGACTGAAATTATAATACCATTCTTTGAACCGATATTTACCTATATTTATATGACAATTTGCTCTACAAACCGAAATCTAAAAAACTCATAACTAAGTCAAAAAAGCATAAAATTCAATTCGGAAAGCTGTTCTATGCTTGTTTTCAATATATTAATAAATCTGCATACTCAATTTTAAACTTAAACTTATTTAAAATTTTTCAAATTTTTCAAAACTTTACAGATGCAAAAATTTAATCATAAAATTACACAAAAAAAATTTCAAAATTTTTTATCTGTCTGAGATGGCTAAATCGACTCGGCTTTCGATGCTGATCAAGAATATATATGATTTATAGGGTCGGAAATGGCTCCTTCACATCGAAACAAGCTTCTGACTGAAATTATAATATCATTCTTTGAACCGATATTTACCTATATTTATATGACAATTTGTTCTACAAATCAAAATCTAAAAAACTCATAACTAAGCCAAAAAAGCATGAAATTCAATTCGGAAAGCTGTTCTGTGCTAGTTTTTAATATATTAATAAATCTGCATACTCAATTTTAAACCTTAACTTATATACAATTTTTCCAATTTTTCAAAGTTTTACAGATTGAAAAATGTGATCATAAAATTACACAAAAAAAATTTCAAAATTTTTTTTCTGTCTGAGATGGCTAGATCGACTCGGCTTTCGATGCTGATCAAGAATATATATGATTTATAGGGTCGGAAATTGCTGTTTCACATCGTAACAAGCTTCTGACTGTAGAAAATATCTTGGTTCCACTATGCGGATACGTAATGTAACGTGAATATTACGCATACGCCACGTTTGTTCAGCAATCTCACCTTTTGTTGCACAATTAAAAAGCTCAAAATGTCATCAAAACTATTGTTAATTATTTGATTTCAAGGAAAAATCATAGCCAAAATTTGAATACTACCGAATATAGACATCAATAACACGAAGTGGGTATTGATTGATAAGATATATAACGTCAAGACATCCATGTTCGTACACAGCCTTAATACTGTTACCTGCCTCCACACCAATTCGAGATTAATTTGGCTTATCGCCAGGAACAACCGTCCCTGGGGCCTCATCAATCGCAATTGAGCGCATCTTAATTGCTAATTATGCAAATTCCTCTTTGATGCAGGGCAAAATGTCAATGGTGTCAATGCTATAGGTACAGTTGTGTACAAAATACTGGCACTCAAGGTGTACAAGGTGTGATTGTAAAATATATTCGAAAGAAACTGAGGAATGAAATAATTATTAAAATATTATATCTTGTATTGGATATAAAAATCCATTTTATATGGGAATTGATTTATGAAGATGCTACATTTTAAATTTAATTTAATCCTAGTGATTTTCCTCCTTGAGTTTTAATAACTCTTATTTTGCAAGATTCGTGAAATGTATCTGCATTTCAAACGACATTCGCATCTGTATCTGTATCTGTAACTGCAACTGCAACTGCAGCGAGGCCGTTGCCACGTTTGGCCCACGGTGCATTTTAAATCGGATGATGTTGACGATAATAATTAAACTTTGATTTGATTCCGCCCGACACGAAAACTTGGCCAACAAGTCGGAGGGCCTTCAGGTGAGCAGAAGCAGAAGTCAGAAAGCAGAAAGTACGGAGAGAATATCAGCGATAGAGGAGTGGCGGAAAATTCATGCCTGGCTTTAAATATTATATTATTGATTGCCATCGAAAGTGACAGAAGAACTGAAACGGAAAAATCATATGACAAGTATTTAAAATACAATTATTTCGACCTTTCTACTTTAATACATAAAATACTCAAGGAGAATATATGTACACGTAAAAGTCAGCACATTTTGAACTTCTTCCTAAATCCAATTAAAGGAAATGGCCAGAAACTTGCTTTTGTCAGCACATTGCATAATTTGCAACAAGAATCGATTGACATTAACTGGCACTAATCGTGGCAATCGAACCCAATTCCATATCGCTAACCCAAATCCCAGATTCCCCGCTCTCCCATTCACACTTTGATTGGATCTGTGTCGGACCACTTGTTAGCCAGGCCGGGGTCAGGGCAGAGGCATTATTAATTTAACGCCAGTGGCCAAAAACCAACTTTAAGCCAGCTTCGTTGGGGCCCAAAAGTGCTCGCACTCGTAAGTACTCGAGTGCCACAAACTCGGAAGCATCGATTTGGCCATTGGGACAGTTGGCGGTGGTCCACGTTCATGTCCATGTCCCTAAAGCACTGCTAAAAAATTGGTTATTATTACCAAGGTTAAACTTTACATTTAGAATATAAATTAAATATATATTATTAATAGCTCTGCTAACCTTTTGTTTATTAACCAAATTAAGCTTTATATGTAGCCTTTATAAGAAATGGTGGTCTTTAAATGCTGAATCCTATATTCTCCTACATATTTTCAAATAAATATATATTACATACCACCTTTTCCCTTAGTGTACTAATACATATTCGTGACAAAACTGGCTAAATCCGTCCGAGGGTTTCAATTTAGCCGCCGGTCCCCGGTCCCAAATAGGGGAAACCACATAACATATCTGTTGGGATTTGTATGACCGTTCCCACCAATTAGTTGACAAATCGGTTCAGTGCCAGATTAAGCTTCACTTGTGAGTTGCCTATATATATACACATATATATCTCCCTTGATATCCCCTGATTTCTATATTTACATATAAGCCAGCAGCATGGCAATTAAGTGCGCCACAAAAAATTATTGTGGCCATGGGGGAATCCCCTAAAAAATACACCGATAAGTGCTCATCGTTTTAATTAGTCGAGATGACAAATCGAATGGCAAGAGCCTCTCCAATTATTCCAATATTTCCGCATATATATGTATATATATATATATAGGTATAAGCCCTGATTGTCTGTCGAAACTTGTTTCGCAAAACTAATTTAATAACTTTTAAGCAGCCTGGAAAATGTTTCTTTATAAATATTCATGCTGTGCCCAGCTCTCAAGCACTTAAATGTTTTAAAAGCCCGAAGCTGGCCATGGAGTTCAGGTAATGAGAACAAGTAGTTTCAGGAACTTATTTTGAGGTAATTACATAAATCAAGCCTTCATTTAGTTTTGAATAATGCCGGTTACTCTAGGATATATAAAAGTTAACTTTTATATAAATATATTGTATGGTAAGTCTGCATTTTATGGACTTCCTATAATTATTTTCCAGCTGTTTTCGAAACCCTACAATTTCAGGCTATTTATTTTTGGAAAGTAACTATAAATAACCTTCACAAACAATGCCATTAAAGTGTAGCTAGTAGCTACCCTGTCGGACATAACAGTAAAGCTCATAATCAGAAATGTTTAAATTTTATGCGTTTGTTTGTCACACAACATTAATAGGGAGCATAAAGGATAAAGGAGCATGAGTAGTGGCAGGAAAGCCGGAAGGCTTCTCTAAATGGGATATGTGAGAAGGAAAATCAAAAAAAAGAAGAAACTTAAAGGAAAGCTAAAGGCACACAGAGAAAAGTCCCCTCTGAAAAGTTCTGGCTTCAAGGGATGTGAGAAAATATCAATATAGCGAAAATTTAACTATAATCAACGTCAATCTATTTAAATCCATAAAAAATCAATAGGTTAAAGTTGATTATTCAGATTTAAGGAATTAAAAACTCAATATAAGTATTTATTTACCTAATAAAATCGAACTAAAAGCATCTCGAATTGAAATGAATGCATTTTTGGCTTAATTTTGGAAGAAGCTTCAATATCTGTTGTGCCAAAATGTACATATAGTAAAGTGATAATAATTAAATGCAATATTTAATATTGCTTAAAATATTGATAAGTTTTACTTTACGATATTATTGATGTAAAATTAAGCGCTATGCAGGACTCCTGAACTCTCCCGATATCCCTAGTCCTGGATCTTGTTAAGTCCTTAGCTTCGGATCAAGACCCTTGTGGCTATAGTCGCACACATATATCTGTTCCACGCCATTGCGATTATGGGAATGGGATGAGCTTGAGCTCTCAGGACATGGCTACACACACACAGACACATAGAGATACATGCAGAAGGAGGACGAATTCACTGACACTGTCATGGGATTATCCTTGTGGGAATTAGGACTGGAGACTGCTTGCTGCCTGGTAATGGAAATGCAAACGGACATGAACACGGACATGGACATGGACTTGGACATGGGCATGGATATGGGTGTTGGGTGTAGGCAGGAGGACAGGGGGAGATACACTCTACACTCTACACTCTACACTCTACACTCACCGTATATAGGCCCGTTGCAGTGGCCCCCGACGACGAGGAGGATGCCGCTGCCGCTCCAGTGCTGCCGTAGTTGAGCTGCGAGTGATAGCCGCTGGAGAGGATCTTCTTGTGTGCGGATGCATGCGCCCGATACGCGCTCACGCTCAGTTTCATCCTGACATCCACTCGCCAGCCGCCGCCCCCGCCAGCAGCAGCAGCAGGAACCCACGACGACGCCTGCGATGCGTTGCGTGTGGGCGTCTAGCCTCCCTCTCGTTATCCTTGTACCTATCTCCTGCCGTACCCTATCCTCGCTATCGTCCTTGCTGCTATTGCCAAGTGCCGCCTACGTATCCTTGTTGTCCGGGGCTTGCTCCGGTTGCACTTTGTGTTGCTGTTGCTGTTGCTGCTTTTGTTGCTATTAATATTAATATTGCTGCTTTTGCTTTTAATGGGGTGCTGTTTCCAATTTTTGCAATTCTTTGCTCCTTGCGTAGGTGTTTTTATGCGGTTTGTTGTCGCTTTAACAATTGTTATTATTTCTGGTCGGTGTTCTGTAGCTCCTGCTCCTGCTCCTACTTTTCCATTTCCTTATCCTCCTGCTGTTGTTGTTTGTTATTTTATTTCCCCCACTGCTCCCCTCTTGTTTTTGTGATGTTTTTTAGCTGCTATTGTTTGCCGCGCGTCGCTTTCAAGTTGCGTTGAATTGGGCTTAATTGAGTGCCCAGAGGCGGCGACGTCTGATGACGAGGATGAGGACGACAGAGGACGACACCGTTTTCCCCAAAACGGAGGGCGTGCCGGCAGCAGTTTTCCTGGCTCAAAAGCAAAAGCAAAAGCAAAAACGAAAGCGAAAGCAAAAGCAAGCTGGCAATGTCGACACCGAGACGACACGACACGACACGACACAAAGGCAAACTTTTTATTGCCGCCTTCGGTGGCAGTCAGTTGCAGATGGGTGTGGATTGGAGGTGGAGACAAAAGGTCCTGGCGATGATGATGGACTGCTACGGCTGCTCCTGCTGCTGTTGTTGTTGTTGTTGTTGTCCAGGGGTAAATTCGTGGACCCGTGTCTGGGATCGCTGCTCAGTTTTAGTTGGCCATAAACGTTGAAGCATGTAGTAGAGCTATAGCCGGCTGCTGCTGTCGCCTGGCTTTTGTCCTTTTTAGGCTCCTCCTTGGCTGTGAGTGTCCTGTTCCTGCTGCTGTGCGTGTGTGTGTGTGTGTGTGTCTGTGCTGGGGGGAGGATGGATACCTATCCTTGAGCTCTCGCTTTTAATTGTTTGTAATTTGGTTTTTAGTGCCGTCGGTCGCTGCTTTACGCCCCTCAAAACTCTCTGCTGCTCTGTTCCTCTGGTAGTTTGCTTTTGGTGTTTCTGGTTGTTGTTGTTGTGGTTGTTGTTGTTGTTGTTGTTTTTATTGTTGTTAAGGCCTCATGTCACTTTAGTTACAAGTATCTGTAGCTGGTGCTGTCGTATCTGCATCTCTATCTCTATCTGTAGCGCTAACCGTATCTCTATCTCTATCTGTAGCTATGTCTCTGCCCTTGTGTTTGTATCTGTATCTGCGGCTCTTTGGCTGAGTATCTGCTGCTTTTGTTGTTGTTGCTGTTGTTGTTGCGGTTGCCTGCAGGCGAAGAAAACATTTAGTTAAGCAAACATTAAAGTGAAAATTAATTAAAATGTCCAACAATTTAGTTACGAAACATAAACTCAAGCACACGCACAGTGAGAGAAACCTGTGCAAGTTCAAAGCGGCTTAAAAGAACAAAAATTGTTCTAAATAAAACTTATTAAAATATATACATAAAAACGAATTAAATAAAACTCTGTAGGATCCTCCAAATAACTATTACTCAAACTTAAATAATTGCATACTTTAGGCACATTACAGAGCTATTTTCAAAAGGCTTTAGCTGAATAGTTTTCTCGCCAAAGCATCCAATTAATTAAATTCACCAATTAAGGAGCTCCAAAATATGCTGGCAAAAATATACACAAGGAAAACACACCCATACAATTTACGGATAAATAAATAAAACCACTCAGATTAATATTATATATTCTATCTATTAAATTTTGTCTTTAAAAATCCCTAAATTAGTTTAGATATTCATTAATTTGTTCCTAAAAAACCAATATAAACCACTTCTCTCAGTGACTAAACACTGGCACCTCATTAAATATGGGCTTCGCACCGAAACGATTTAGTTTTCACCGAATTTCCAAGAACCAAATGTCGTTTAAAGAGCAACCGCAGCTGCTTTCGCCTCGGTATTTGCCGCATTTTCCGCATTTTCCCCGAAGTCGCCTTGTTTGGCTTGCAATTCAAATTAATATTGTTGGAGCTTGGCAAACACACACACACTCTGGCACACTCTGGCACACTCTGGCACCCTGCCCCATTTGCAGTTAAATACGAAACTTTGAGCCCGAAAGTCATCCGCAATAAATAGTCAACAAGGCAGGTGTGGGCGGCGGTGTGCCACGCAGGTGCAAAGTTCATTAACTTTGCGGCAAAGTTTGATTTGTGCGTAATTGAACCCTTTGCAGGGACAGCGAGGAGCGGATAAAGTTGACCAACTATCGGTCGCCGTGATTGATGGCCAATGATTGATGGGGATCACGGGTGGCTGACCGTTGGGTGAATTATCTAATTAGTGATAGCCAATCAATCAGCCTGATTATCTGCAGTCTATTATCAATTATCAGCTTGTAAGCTGGCAATATTTAATATATATATTAATATGTCTTGAGGTAAATATAGCTCAAGTAGCTTGGTTACAAAAAAAATTAAAGATAAAGGTAAAGCAAGCAGAGATATATATCAATTAATGCTTGTAATTCCTTTTCCAGTTATTATTATGAAATGAATACCTTTATTTTGATGCTTTCTTTCTGCTGTATTTGCCAATTAATTATAATTGTAAAACACTCATTACTCTCGGCACAATAATTAAGCATGGCTCATCAATCAATTAACCAACCCAATCGACTGCCTAACCTTTGAATATTTATGGGCTGCGGTCAATTGTTGTTCAGTAGCGATTTTCCCAAGAAATACATTCGCAAACCTGGAGTCAACCTTGAACTCAATCAAGCGCAAGGGCATCAGCATTCATTCAGTCAGCTGGTGAACCGAATCGAATCCGAAACTCCTCCATCTCGGAGCCACGGTTAACACCAGACTCCAATCGAGCGAGGGACAATCATTGGGCAATCAATCGAGCATCGTCGCCCACTCAATCTGGGCCTCAAATTCATTCATTTCGAACACTCAGACATTCACTTAGCATTCATTTAGCGTTCACTTGCCATTCACAACGGCATTCATTAAAATAGACAATAACCGACGCTCGCCGCTTTATGCCCCTCGGAAACGGATTTATTACGGACCAAGTAGAGAGTTTCCTCTTTTATTTTTTATATTATGTTAGCTGGAGGACTGGCAGAAACGCCGGAAAAATTACAACGAATTTCATGTCTCCAAAAAGGTTGTAAACATGTCGCAAATGTAAATCAAAAGTATGACATTGCTCTGCGAATAAGATATTGCTCGGTCCTCGGATCCTGGCGGACTTGTACTTGGCAGAGGACAAGACCGAGGGTGTCCCAGAAGCTTTTAAGTTAAAACCAGAACCTGGTTTCACTGACAGGACACGGCGATTGGCCATAAAACTCCATGCAATTACAACGCAGAATCCATTGAGCCGAAGGCAAACATTCAATAAAGACTTTAAACTAAATAAACGAAGACGGGAACCGAGATTGAGATGGAGATGGAGGCTCCGGAAACTGCCTTTGACGTGAGCTTTTACACTGCAAAACAAAATGTCTAATTAATTTAATTAAAAACTCAGAGGAGCATTCAATAATTGTCCAACTAAAAACATAAATACTCTCTAGTCTTTAGTCAACATTCTCCACAGTACTAAAGCATTTAATTAAAGAACGTCACTTAAATTGAAATGATTATAATGAGTAAAGTAGTAATTCCCGATTTTTCTGAGTGGCTCTACTTCATCTTGCCAAGTCGATGGATTGCACCTGTTGGCATCTTCAATATACACACAACGATGGCACATAAAATGTAATTATAAAGCATTCAAACATCCGCAAAGTAGATACAAAAAAATAAAAATAAAAATAAAAATGGAGGGCTGCCGATGCTGCAGAAATGCTGGAGGGTCGGAGGGTCGGAGGGTCGGAGGAGGCAGAGGTCAGGGGTCAGGGGTTGAGGGTGCAAACAAAGTAAGAGACTTAACACTTTGTGCGAACGCTTAACCAGCTTAGAGGGCCAGAAGGAGCCAAAGGAGCCAAAGGAGCAAAAGCAGCCGCAGCAAGTTTTATGAGTTTTTGCCTGGTCAGAGAGGCAGAGGCAGAGGCAGAGGCAGTGCCCATCGAATGCCCCAGGATGTGCAGGATACAGGATACAGGCTCCAGACTTCAGGCAGCTGGGAGTATTTAGTCAATGGGATATGGTGCAGAGATTAGCGATGACAATGGATACTTATAGTTAGTAGTTATTGCTTCTATTTAATATTGTAATCCCCATAAATGTCACCAAGAATAAAATACATAAATACAATTAAGAATTTAATTAGCTTAATTATTTACTAGTTGATCCCATCAAGTTAAATAGTTTTTGATTCATAAGATGCTCATTAAACGTATACACTTTATATATAATTGCTGGTAACTTTGGTCGATATATATCGATAGGAAACTCTTTCGATTTCCTCTCGATATTTATTTAAGTACATCTCGAACAGAAAAACACTTATTGATGTGTATGTACAGTATTTGCGGACGTATCTGCGCATTTTTCTACATAAAACTCAATGAAGCATCCACTGACAGTTGGGGAAGATAACGAAGGAGAGAGCTCTGGCAACGGCTGCTGCTGATGCTGCTCCTGATGGCGATGCTGATGTTGCTCCTTCGCCGACGTTGCCGTAGTTGCCGTAGTTGCCGTAGTTGCCGCCTTCCCCTGCCGATTTCAATTTCAAAATGTACGCTCCATTGGGCAGTGAAAACCCCCTTACAGCAACCAGCCAAGCTCCTCCTCCAGCATCACAAACGGCACAAGAGCACAAGAGTCGGCAGCAGGGCCATCACAAAAAGTGACATTAAAAAATGGTGGCCACTTGTCAGGCGGAGAGCGGGGGCGGAGAG